TGTCTTTGGTCCTATCCTCCGGTCTCGTTGTTCCTTTATTTCTCACTTTTGTCTCGGTTGTTAAAGATATTTAGACAAATTTGTTGACCTTTTCTTAGGTTCTGTGTCTTTTTATTAAGATGTAATAGTGGGCTAGAACCATTAGAATTCCTTGCAAGGTAAGGAAAAATATTAGGCGAAGCTGCCTGATATTGGCCTATACTCTGACAGCGAGGAAGGCGTTCTCACAGTAGTTTTAAAATATAGGAATTTACATAACTATTAGCTTAGTTCTTATATTAAAAACTTAGTTCTTAGGTTTAGTTTTCTTCAGTAACCAAGGACCTGATTAAGATAATATAAAACATAGAAATTATTTTGATGACACATATAATCTTGTTATTTAGGTAGATACATTTTTCATAATATCAGTAGTAGACCAATAGTCTAACAAACTTTATCTTATTTAGCAGAGAGAGAAAACTTCACTTGAATTTTGCACCAACTTACTTTTGATATTTAAACTTATTTAATCAATTGTATTTAGCTTAACCATAATCTATAACCTTTACAATCTTAATTTCTACTGATCAAGCAATCGCAGAGAGGTCCTAAGATTTTACAATTGTCTCCACAACTTCAAAGAGGCTGTAACAAGGAGTTGGGGGAGTTTGCTGCCCGGGTTTAAAAGTCTCTTTTTTTTTTTTCAGTTACCTCAACCTCAAGCGATGGCTGCAGCAGCCCCTTTTGTTTACATTTTAGGTTATCTGTAAGATCTTGTGAGTTACTGAGAATTCGAAAAGCCTTTTTAGATTTCCTTTCACCAATTTTTGAATATAGAGTTGGTGTACAAAACAATTTAAGTTGGCCAGTTTGTTAATACATGACCTAGGGAGTTTTCAGAAGGTATAATAGATACAGCGCTCCCCACCAGCTCGGTGTTTAAGACACAAATAGAAAATGGAAAGGACAGGCTAGCGGAGAGCAAAACAAGGTACAAAAACCAGAGTACCCACAGAACCAAATCCCCCTGAAATGAGGAGCTGGGGTTTGAATTGGCCAGTTTTTTTTAGTCACCCAATTTGTATGGGGCCAAGCTACACTGCAAAAGAAGACAAGGCATTTTTCTTTAAGCTATCGGGACCAAACTTGACTCCATGGTTAAGGATGCAGCTGAGCGGTGAACCCGAAGGGATTGAGGTTGACGGCTTACGTCCCACGCTGGTCTGTAAGAGAAGGAGAGTCTTAAGGAGAGTCTAGGTAAGGACAAAACTCCCCTGTGAGGCATACTCTAGGAGATAGTTAGTCCAAGCTTGGATCCTCCGGGCATCCCCTGAGAGGTCTTTAACTTAAGAGGCCAGACGTCTCTGGCTTTTGGGTGGGTACCAGTACCACCTTGATTTAGGCTCAGGCTTGGGTTTGGGCTTGAACTTAAAGGCTTAGGCTTGGACTTGGACTTGGACTTAGGCTTGGAACTCCTCCACAGACTATGTCTTATGACAACCTCTGGGATCCCTGGGCAGTGCGCTCAGCTCTTTGCATCCCACCAGTTAAGTGACTAAGGTCTGAGCAATAACTGTTAGGGAAGTTTGGAACAAAGGGAATGGGGGTAGCTCAAAGCCTTTTAGGTGTCTCTTTGAAATTCTTAGGTGAGCAAAGAAAAGCCATGCTGACTCTAAATCTTGGGCACTTTTTCAGGAAGAGGAGGAAGTGGTTTGAAGACATCCTCAGAGTTGAGGCAACCACAGGGGTTAGGCAAAAGAAAAGATGACATAGATGTGTAAATTGAAAAAGTGGGTTTAGAGGTGGCCTTTTAGCGAAAGGTTCGCATCCAAAACTAGAAATGGGGCAGATAGGGCAGGCCTCTCATAGCAAGAGGTAAGGCAGAAGAGGAGAGCAGCTTGAGGTTCCCAGGGGACTTCAGTGAGATGGGGAAAGAACAAAGGGGATGAAACATCAAGTCTCCAAAGAGACACTATGCTGTTCAAAAATAGACCTCACAGGTATTTGGGTTTGTCTTCAGCCCGCAAATCCTAAATGACTTGCCCCCAAACCGGGTTATCCTTTCATGGGGGTCTTTCAAGCGGCAGACACCCTAGCGGTATTTAAATGTCTGACCCATGCTCCCAGAGACGGCAAACAAAAGAAGTTTTAGGGTCCGCTAGCAGGGGCTTGCTTACCTCCTGGCTGGCTCGCCAAAATATGTTACCGGAGAGGGGGCCCTTCTCGGTGAGATGTTCGGAGTTGGCTTTCACATCGGGGGGTCGAACCTGGCAGAATCTGGCTGGTTTCCCACACCAGGTGTTGAACCCTGGCCTCTGGGAAGAAAACTGGGCATCTTACCTCTTATGTTGTCAGGGGTTGGGCCCTCCTTGGTGTGGTGTCCAGGTTCTAGGCATCTTGAACAAAGAATTGAACAAGACACAGAGGTAAAGTGGTAAAAAAAAAAGTTTATTAGAAGAGATAGTACACGCCAAAGAAGTAGGAGCGGGAAGAGCATCAAGCAAAGCGGCTCAAGGCTCAAGGTGGCGTTATTAGGGGGAAAAGGACACTCCAAAGAGTTTGGAGCAGGCCCTGAGCAAGGGCAAGGCTCGAGAGGCGGCCAAGGGCTCAAGGGGCAACAGCCTGCAGGAGTCTGGGGACTTGATCTTTTTTTCTCTGGGATGGGCTGTTCCTCTCCAGGTGAGAGACCACTTGATTGACACCTGTGATTGATAAGGGGGCATTACCTCACCCTCTTAGACTGCGCATGTCCCCTCCCAGAGTTCAGTCTGTTATAATGATATTAATGAACTACTGGGCATATGCATGATAGTATCATAATGGTATAACGAGACTAGGGTGAGGTGGAGGTCATTATAGCCCCCCTCTTGTCTAGGGCAGGTCTAATCTATTGTCTCTTAGTGTCCTCACAGCGATTAATGGCAAGGGCAGGTAAGGAGAAATTCATGGGGGGTCTCTAGGCGGTGCTCCCCATAGATTGTGTTGACGTGTAGGAATGCAGAGACCCCATTACCTGCCTCTAACTGCCTGCCTTGTTTTCCCTGAGAGACATGATTCCCATCAATCTCCTTAGAGATTTATGGGGAGCTGAGGGACAGGAGAGCTCTGCTTCTGTATCTGCTTCAAGCTGAGAAGGGGGTAGAGCTGCCCCTGCCTGCTGGGGATTCACGAAACTCTCGCCCTATGTGTTCTAAAATATTTAAAAAAGGGAGTCTATTTTTCGTTGGTCGGGGTGCACTGGAAGCCTCGCTGGGGCATAACTTGTATCCCGACAGCCCCTAAGTGAGGAGAAACAGACACTGGTGAAGAAATTAAAAGTACTGGCTCCAGGGATGGGACTCAAAGCCCACCTATCTTAACTTCAGGTGACATTTGTTCACCCAGGGGTTACATCTGGACTGGCCTGGAGGGGTGGTAAAAACCCATCTGGTCTGTGGGATGGCCATTTACTTATCCAAAAGTTAGGTCTGTCATCGCTTGGGGAATGTTGGGCTACAATGATTACAGTTAACAAGCTTAAGTCACAGGCTTTTAAGCAGTCTGGAAGCAAGGGTGAGAAACGTTCTGTGATTTAGGCTAGGAGCCATCTTTGGTTTAGGATACAGTATAAGAAACTGATTAGAAGAGTGATTAAGACCAGGGGCTAAGAAGCTAAGGAACTAAAGGAAAAGGAGACTTAGATTTCCTATAGTGAAGGAGGCTTAAAACTTCTATAGTGAGGGAGGCTAAAACTTTTACAGTGAGGGAGCTCTCGTATCAAAACTGTCCCTGGCGTTGGAAAGAATTGCAAAGAATTTCCCTTCCTTTCTTCTCTAACTGTGCTATCTGCCCTGTAAATCCGGTCAAATTCTAGTTGATCCTGCAATATAGTGGGGATGGAGGGTAAGCTGAGGGAACACAAAGCCTCTGTTTAGTGGGAGCATCTCAAAGAAGCCCGTCTTTGCACATTTTGGCTCATCTAGACAAGGTGCAAGAAGGAAGAGTGGTACAGACATATGACGGCCCTGGGCCACCTTCTACCCACGCAGGGCCTATATGACCCGTACCGCTCATCTAGGCTTGACGGCTAACACACTGGCTTTCTCGCTAGCACATTGCAGGTACCTGCTTGACTTCAGGTAAGGTTATTGCCACTGCTCCTATCCTCCCCTCCCCACTCCCCCGACCCAGTCTCTCCTGCTAAGTCTCTGTTCAATCATTTCCCTTAACCAGGTGTTGAGGCTAATTAAACACAGTTTATTTAACATGTTCCCCTGCTCCCTATGTCACTTGGAATGTTTCATTATGTCCAAGACTTCTCCTCTCCCCATTCTAAAGCTCAGGGGGGAAAAGGGAGAGAGAGGTAGAGAGGAAGAAGAGAAGAGAGAAATTCATAGCACAGGGGATCAGAAGTTCCCAGGGCACCACTCTACCCAAGGAGATCATAACCTCCGTTATGAGGTTTCCTAGTTGTGAGACACGTCTTTCTACATGATGCTGTTATTATACGAGGAATAGAATTTTAAAGGCAAGGAATACCTCGTTGAGAACCTAAGTAGCCTCATAGAGATCAGGCTGCCACTAATGAGCTGTGTGACCTTGGGCATGTCCCTCAGGCTCTCTGAGCCTCCGTTTTTCTGTGCGTAAAATGGATATAACCGGGCCGTCCACCCTCACCCCCCATGCACAGGCAATGCTCAGCCACACGGACCCTGTCAAACAGCCCCGTTGTTTTCTGAATACTGTGACTGAGCGTGCTCAGATGACACAGCCACACACTTACATTCAGTGTTTTCTAGAAATTCACTGTCATGTCAGTAAGGTCAGGCTCTTGAACCTATATATGAACCAGACGATTCAATCTCAGGGTGGAGCACAGGAGAGAGGAGGGAAAGTTCTCTGAGGTGGGAAATGTTTGCTTTCCTGTCCCTGAGTTCACACTCACCCCTCCTCCTCCAGCATCCCACCTTTCTCTTTCACTTCCTCTTGCTCCTGGCTCCGCCCCATTGAATAGCTGCCAAATTGCTTTGGTTTCTATTTCTTTGCTAACTCCTCCCCAGAGCAGCGGGCTGCCTGGCCTGTGTGAAAAGCAGCGGTGACCACAGAGGTGGTGGAGAGATGGCTTTCAACAGCGTCCAGCCTCCCTTCTTGAGCCCGGTGAGTTCTGGGGCAAAGGCGGTGCTGTCCATGCTGAGCTGCCGGGGCTGAGCTGGCTGCCCCCGCAGGGGAAGCAGCTCTGGTTCCAGGAGGAAATAACACCTGGTAGCAGTGGGGTGGAGGGGGGCATCGAAAAGAGAAAACATACGGGCAGAAATGCCAGGTGGGGCAACCCTGACCAACTTCTGCCCCAGGCCGGTCTCACCTGTGCCTCCTAGGACCAGGATTTGTGCATTTGACAAAAGTTGACTGCGCTCCCTCTGGGCGCCAGTCTTGTCCTAGGTGCTGAGGGGAAGGTGGGCACAAGTAATAACTAGAAGAGTGGTGGTTTCTTTGCATGAAAGGGGAAGTAAATGTGGCTGCTGGGGGCAGGAAAACAGCCCAGCATGGGGTAGTTTGAAGATGGCCTCCCTAGGGTCAGCCATTTACTAGCTAGATGACCTCAGGCAAGCTACTTTTATCTCTCTGGGCCTCAGTTTCCACATCTGTAAAATGGGATAATCCTCCTAGGATTGGGGTAAGGATTAAGTGAGGTAGCATATCTAGGGTGCTTGAACCATGCCTGGCACTCTGTAGGTGCTTTTGAAGTGCTTAGTATGATTAGGAGTCTGGGGGCAGCAGGGAAGACCTTCCAAGGAGGTATCTGCTCCCTGCAGGGTGAGTTAACATGGCAACGGCCATGTCAAGGGTGTCAGCAGAGGGACCCTCGGGGGAGTGAGAGAGGAGTGGGGCTGTCCGTGCAGCGTGCGATGCAAAGGGCTGCCTTTTGTACCTTTTTGCCATGTGTGTGGGACCTGTCTGCAGGTGAACTTGTTTAAGTCGGGCACAACTGATCTCACAGATTCATTGCACACAAATTTTCAAATATGAAATATGTCTTTACTGTATGTACTAAGTCACAAACAGGACTGACGATAGGTTACGGTAGAGGGGGAAGATACGGAAGCGATGAGTCATGATACTTAAGTTAATTGTTCGATATTTGAAAATGTGTGTGCAATGAATCTGTGAGATCAGTTGTGCCCGACGGAGGGTTAAACCATCTGAGCCTTGGAAAAACTGAGGCTCAGAGATGTTGGGGCCATTTGCCAAATGTCCCCAAGTGGTAAGTGGCAAGGTAGGATGGTGCCTAGATTTACCCCCAGGAGCGAGAAGTGCCCAAAGAGACAGCAGTAATGGGGGAAGGCAGGCAAGCGGAAGCCCCAGGCCCAGGAGGCCCTTGTAGCCACTGTGTCCCAGGCCCAGTGTAGAAGCCTCTCCCCGCCTTGGCAAAGAGCTATGGGAGGGGCTGGAGATGGGCTGACGGAGCCCTTTCTGTGTGGGAGCATGGGGTAGGTGGGTGGGCAGCACCAGGGTGCTAAGGTTCGCTTCTGGGGTTTCACTTTCAAGCTCACCTCAGCAGGGGCGTCTGGCTTGGCCTGCTTCCTGCCAGCAATTGCTGGGGCCCCTCAGCCCACCTTGAGGAAGCTCTCGGTGAGGCTGGAGAAAACCTGGCCAGGCCCGGTTGCTGCCTCCATGGGGGCCTCAGGGCCAACACATGTCACCTTGGGCTCATTCTCTGTAAGATGGGGGATCCCAGAGCTCCTTCCAGGCCCTGGCAGTTTATTATCCTGGTGACTAGTTTTTACTTTCCAATCTTTGGACTCTAAAGCCAAATTTTTCAAATCAGAAGGGAAATCCTGCAAGGGCAACACAGAGTTAAAACAGGCCTTGGCGTCCAGACTAGAAGAGGATGGGTACAGCCTCCACAGGCGCCAGGAGCACCCCCATCCAGCCCACATGGGCACCCTCTCCATGGTGACCCATTGACTTCCAGCGATCAGAAGTAACCGCCTAGCTTCCTCTAACGTGTGCCGGGACGGTCACACAGCCCAGCGTATTCTGCTGAGGGCCTGCCTCGGGGACCTTGCCCACGCTCTGCTGGCCTCATCACCCAGTTTCCTCAGAAGGCCAGGATGGAGGCTGCAACCACGAGCAGGACAGGACTCGCTGTTTGGCCCGGGAAAGCGCCCAGTGAGTCAGAAGCGAGGGTGTTTTGTGCTTCATCATGAGAAGCAGGCTGTGTGGCAGTTAAATGCATGGATGCTAACGTTCAAACTCCACTCTACTACTGCCCAGCTGTGTGGCTTTGAGCAAGTGACCAAACCTTTCTGTGCCTCAGTTTCCTCCTTTGTAGAGGTGGCACTAATAATGACCAGGGTTGTTACGAAGATAACTAGATAACAAGGAAGATGGCCACCAGAAGGGCCTCAGAACCTCTGGGGCAGCAGTGCCCTTTGGCTGGAAGCCTCACGCTGCCTCCTACAATGAGGCCTCTCTGCCAACTGGAGTTGGGTGCCCTCTGGTGACACTGGGTGTCCAGAAGCAGGCTGCCTACCCTTGTGCCTATAGAGCCTGGCTCTGCTGTCTGGACATCCAGGTAGGAAGAGGAGGAAAAAAGTCTTCAGCCTCCCGGCATGGCCAGGAGCTGAGAGCAAGTCCTGACCCAGCAGAGGGATTAAGTCATCCTGGTTAGATGTGAGAGGACACTGCCCCTTTAGATGAGAGAGATGATGTCTATTTTGCTGCAGTCTCCCCACTCCCTATCACCCATAACTCACTCGTATACATCACCAGTTTGGATCCTGTAAGCATGTCATTTTTGTAGAGAACTGACTTAGAGAACAACTTAGGAAAGATATTAGCAACTTGAAAAATGGGAAAATTGAGTAGGAGAGGGAATGACCTCCTAGATTAATGCAGTTTATAGAACCACATTAAGAAATAAATATCCTGGAGGATAGCTTTGCAAGTTGAGAAGTAGACAATTTGGGAATTTTGCTCAGGGAGACCAAGAGGAAAAGCTGGGTGGTGGAGAGACACCTACTAGGTGCCAGTCTCTTCCACAGAATTTTTCTCACCAAATCATTGACGTTACACATAAAGTGGGATTTATCCCTATTTTACAGATGAGGAAACTTGAGGCAAAGAGAGTTTAAATAAACTCCCCAAGGCCACTCGGGTAATGAGCAGCAAAATTAGGATTCAAACTTGGAGTATGCCTGGCTCTAAAACTGATTCAAGCCTCACCATAACCATTGCTCCTTTAAAGTGGCCCCGGAAAGAGAATTTGACAAAGTGGGTGCCGATGGGGCCTAGGAAGAGTGGAGGTACCACATTAGGGATTTGGAGGATGCTGGGGACCTGGAGAAAGGAATGGGGAGCCCAGGAGCAGGAGTAGAGGAGGGGGCTGCCCCGTGGCAGCAGAAATCACCTAGGGAGAGGTGCTACCCAAGGTGGCTGGGAGGGGAAAGGTCATGGCAGTTCTGTGGTGGGGTGGGCAGGAGAGAGGGAAGGATGTCTTCTGCTTGGCCCTCTCACATTAGCAGAAGGTTCATCCTCTAGAGTAGGTGGGTGGCCTCTTGTTCCTCGGGCTTCCTGAGTCTCCAACCAGAGCCCCGGGGGCTTTGCTGGGAGCTTGGCCTGGGGTACAACAGTCTCCATCACTACCCTGGTTTCTTCCCCTCTCTGGGCCGTGTACATGCTACTTCCTCCTCTTGGAAGCTGTCACTTCTCAGGCTCTTAAGGAAGGCCAGCTCCCCACTACATCCTCTCAGAGCTCTGCGGCCTCCTTATCCCAGTCTCAGAAGGTCTGTGTAACTACCTCAGTTCAGGTCGGCTTCCTTACAGGCCTGGGAGACTCGTGAGGCTGAGGCTCCTTCTGTCCTATTCACAGCTGCACCCAGACTCTAGCACAGTGCCTGGCACACCCAGGCCAACCACTAGCAAGTGCCAAAGACAACAGACAGAAGGAGGCAGGCCCGCTGACTGACCACTGTCTTCTCCCTGCAGGTTGTCCCCTTCTATGGGTCCATCCAAGGGGGCCTCCAGGATGGACTTCAGATCACTGTCAATGGGACAGTTCTTTACACCAGTGAAACCAGGTACCTGGAACTGTTGTTTCTGTCCAGCCTCGCCCCGTTGCAAACCATGGTGCTTGTCAGCTCATGTTGGTTCACCTGAGCTGCCTGTACCTGGTTCAGGAGATTCCAGATGAGCAGGGCCCGGCCCCTGCCAACACTCATGGCACCACTGCCATCGGCCTAGAGCATCTGGGCACTATTAACATAGGCGCCTTCCCTCCCCGCCACCCCCCCCCCAATAGACATAAGGAGAGCCGGAGCTCACAGCCTAAGGCCAGCCCAGAGGCAGATCATTCTGTTGTAGATTTCAACTTTGTACTCTAAGACGCAGAGTTACAAAAATGTCACTTCCTTTATTTCCCATAACTGCCCTCATTGACTTCAGAGCTCTCATTTGGCTGATGTGGAAATATGTGAACTTCCCATCAAAGGTCATTTGGTCTCTTTCTGTTTCAAGGTCTTTTCTGGGAAATACATACATCTTCTTAGCACTGTTTCCCACCCCCTCCTCCTTCCCAAAAGGTGGGGGCAAGAGGGTTTGTTGGGGAACAAGGGAGAGCTTGCGCTTCTTCTCAGAGGCTGGAGGGCCCGCTGAAGCTTACACCACCCTGACTGACCTCTGCTGAGGTCCAGGTGGTGCAGAGGTGTGAGGCTGCCTCCCAGTTTGGTGAGGTCTACCTGCATGGTAGCTGCCTGCTGCAGTCCATGGTGCCCTCAGAAGTTCCTCTGGATATGTGGTCCTCTCTTGGGAGTCTCTGTGTCTCAATCCCAGATGTCTTTTTCCTCCAATAATCCTCTCATCACCTTGCCTGGGTCTTCGGAACCTTGTGGATTCCACCACTCCCAAACACAGCGCTACCTCATCTTGGCATCTAAATTCTAAATGGCTTCCTCCGCAATTGCCTTCCCTGCCAGGTGGATACAGCCACACTGACCTTGGGACATCTCTGAGAGCCCCAAGTGCCCCCAGGAGACTCCAAGGGAAGTGCGGCACCCAGATCCCCCTAAACCCAGCTAGCAGGAGGACCTGGGACCTCTGAACCCACATCCCCTTCGCTCTCTCTCTCTCCCTTTGCCTACCCTTCCTCCCAGTACCAGGAGGGCTTTCTACGCCCATCCTGTCTGATAGAAACTGTCCCTGCCTCTTCTCTTGGAAGTTTTTGCACCCTTCCTTCCCTGGGGCAAGAATTTTCAGAGGACCACAGGAATGGAACTGGAGGACTACAAAGTGGAAAATATATCCAGAGATAGTTCAGAAACATAGCCTCCATTTAAAGAGGAATATGAACTTTTCTGTTCCAGAGTCACTGGGAGACTCCTTTCCTTTTATTGTTCCCAAAGGGAGGCCTGGCTGGGCTCAGGGCCACAGCAGTTCCCCATGGGCCTTGCTGGCTGAGGGTCCACAGAGCGGCCTGGTGTTGAGCACGGACGGCACCCAGAGCTCGCCCTCCTCCACAGAGAAATCAAATAGGCTCTGCAGGAATTTAATAGGAGGTTTATTAAGGGCCACCTCAGGGTTTGGTGCAGTGCCTGGCCCTGGGAGAATGCAGAAGACGTGAAGGCAGGGGGCCTTCCCTAAGTGCTGTGTGTTACTTGGAGACACCAGAGTGACTCCAAGACACAAGCCATGAACCACGCTCATGCGGAGTTCAGGGAAGGCTGGAGTGGACAGTGACATCTCAGTGGAGAACCTCAGACAGCAACTGGTTTTGGTACCTGAGCGAGCTGTGTCTGGGGAAAAGGCAGAATAAACATTTATTGTGGCCCTTTCGTGAATTAGTCTCCTTGGAAGCTTCTCTGGTTTTAATTCCTCATGTTAGAGCTATAGCTAGACCCAAAGGAAGTTTTGATGGCAAGGGGATTCCTCGGAGGAGAGAGACAGGAAGGAACACGTACTTGCATGGGAGCTTCCTGAACGCAGCCTCATTAATCATCCCCAAAGGTAGGGCGTCACCGCCATTCCCGGCTGCAGCGACTTGAGGGAATTGTGGTTCAGGGTCATCCCAAATGACAGACTGTGCAGAGCTGGGGTCTGGGTCCAGGCCTGCTGACTTCAGGTCCACCACTCCATGTCTCATGTGTGGGACACAACCAACATCTAATGAGGAACAGACAGACATAGTGAAAGTTCTCACACCCAGAGAGCGAACATTTATTCTGTGCCTCCCCTTTGAGACACCGTCTTCATGGTATATTCCATCAGCGTCACATGTTCTTTCAGTTTGCTCTCTTCCTTCCCAGTTGAGCAGACATGGGCTGGCCTCCAACGAGTGTCCCCTTGGCGTGAAAGGCTCTCATTTCTAGGCATATTCCTTGATTTCCATTCCTGATACACATTTGTAATCCGTTTCCAAGACTTGTTGCTGGTGTCAACATTTTTCTTTATTCATTTTTCTACTTATTTTTAGAAAGTCACACTGTAAAGGGCAAAATGCAATAATTACCCAAAACATACTACATGCAAATTAGGTAAACAAAAAGACGGCAACCAAGTAAGGATGGGTGCAAACCTGCCATGCAGGTTGTATACAGGTTCCCAGACAGACGTAGATCAAAAGCGCGAAACGCTCCTGTTCCTACCCCTTGGCAAGAAACCAGGCTACAAAACACCATCTGATTTCCTTCCCTTGGCCTAGGTTTTCTGTGAACTTGCAGACCGGCCGCAGTGACAATGACATTGCCTTCCACTTCAACCCTCGGTTTGAAGAGGGAGGGTATGTGGTCTGCAACACGAAGCAGAATGGATACTGGGGGCCCGAGGAGAGGAAGATGCAAATGCCCTTCCAGAGAGGGAGTCCGTTTGAGCTCTGCTTGCTGGTGCAGAGTTCCGATTTCAAGGTGAGCAGGAACTGTCCTGCCCTCCCTCCCACTGCCTGTCCCCCAGCACTATCAGGTGGGTGGGTGGGCGGGCGTGGTGAATAGCCTTTAAATAATCCCCTGATCAATGCCATTATACAGATAACCATACCATTTTCTCGTAAGGGCTTACTGATGGCTGCAGTCTCCTTACACACCTTCACCTGCATCTACAGGTGCACCTGTTCCTTCTCTTACCAGGAAATCAGAACTAGATTAAGTCACCAGGAGGCTGTTTGGCCGCAAGGTCCAAGTTAATTCCATTCCTCTGCTGTAGCCTTTCCTCCAATCCAGGTCCCTGATAACATTCGTTTTTTTAGTGACATTATTGCAGCCCTCATCCAGGTTTTATGAATAGCTTAGTTTTGCATGGCGTTGTAAATTGCTTTTGCAAACAAAGTAGTGCCTGCTGGGCTTGGGGAGATGGCTATCCCTGTCAGTGCTTCTGTGAATGTGCATGTTCCCATCCCCTGAATGTGCAACCCAAGGTCCCCTATCCTCTGCTCCCCATGAGCATTTTATGCATATTTAAATGTGCATATTTAAATAACACCCGAGGTGAGCTAAGACTAGAAAAACAAACCTACTGCAATAAACAAACAACCAAGAGAACTAAGAAGCCAACAAGTAGAGCCAAGTGGAGATTGGGTTTGGATAAACTTTGGATCACATGCCTCTTCCTGTAACTGGCACAGCTCTGAGGGCTGGTGCCCTGACCTACAGGGGATGGATGTGAAAACTAGAAGCAGAGGTCCTAGCAGCTAAGGTGTGCTTCCTGCCTGGCCTGGACCCCTCTCCTGGAATGTGCACTTATCTTGGCAGGTGATGGTGAACGGGAGCCTCTTTATACAGTACCCACATCGTGTGCCCTTCCACCGCGTGGACACCATCTCCGTCACTGGCGCTGTGGTGCTGTCCTATGTCAACTTCCAGGTCAGATTGTCTGCCTGACACCTGTCCCAGGGGCTGGGTGCAGGGCCCAGTCTAGCTATGCCTAGGCCCTGTTGGATGGGCCCAAATCTCCTACCCAGATGACTCTGGGGACACACCTCTGGTTCCCTGTCCTGTCCTTCTTGTGTCACTGTCTCTGTCCAGAACACCTGCTTCAGCCCCCAGGCTCCTAAGCCACTCCTGTCAGTCACTCTCTATTTCCACCCTGGTGAGGAGGCCATGTGGTTCCAGAAAGAACCCAGGCTTGGGAATCAAACTGAATCTAGCTCAGATTCCAGCTCTGTCATTGTCATCAGCTGTGGGATCTTAGACAAGTGACTTTGCCACTCCAAGCCTCAGTTTCCTCATCGGTGGAATGGGCATTGTGTGAGTTCAGTGAGGCAATACCTGTCAGAGGTCACAAAATGGCCCACATGGAGTCACACCAGAGCCTGTTTGACCTTCTCTGTGCTTTAAAATTTTCAAATGTGTAGCCAGTATCCAAAAAGGTCAGGAGAAGTTTTGCATTCTGGAGTTGCGTGCACAACAATGTGAATGTACTTAATGGCACTCAACTGTGCACTTAAACATTGTGAAGGAAATAAATTTTATGTGCATTTTACCACAGTTTTTTTTTTAAAGGTCAAGCGATACCACATGGAAATCTGAATTCCTGGCTTTGTGAAAGCTGGGAAGATTAGGGTACAGTGGGCCCACATTCGCCCAGGGCCTTAGGTGCCTGGATTGGAGCTGTTGTTATAGCTTTTGGTATTTGAGTGTGCGCCCTCAGATGAGAAGAGCACACAGTCAGCCTTCAGCAAATACGAGCTCCTCTCTCTTTGGCGCTCCTCTCACATTCCCTCCCTACCCAGCTCTCTCCCTGCCTGCCTGGCGTTCCCCCTCTTGCACCCACCCCTGCCTTTTCACTCTTCCTTGGCTCCATTAACGCTTCTCTTCACTCCATGGTAACTTTTGTTTTAACAGAACACCCGCGCAGCCCTTGTCCAGCCTGTCTTCTCCAGGGTGCAGTACTCCCAGGCTGCCACTTCCTCACACAAGCCCAAGGGGCGCAAACCAAAAGTGAGTTAAACATGGAGAACCTGAGAGGCTGAGCAGTCAGCAGGAAGGACAAGGGTCCGAGAGACTAGGTCCAGCCAGCAGGCCAGCCAGGGAGTAGGGCCTATCATGCCCACCCAGGGTTCTCTATCTCCTCCATCCACCAGGCGCCCAGAGCCAGGACCTGAGAGGTGTCCTTGGTTCTTCCCTTCCCTCCTGAATCTCTCTCCAGTGTATCAACACGTGTCCTTCCCAAAGCCACTGCCCTGGTCCTGCCCCCCGACCCCTCACCCATCCATGCACTGCCACAGTAACCTTCCCATGAGCAAATCCGATCACATCTTTTCCCTGCTTAAAAATCCTAAATGCCCCAAGCCCTTCTAAACAAAACTCAGATTACCCTGCAGGACATATCGACTCCTCCCTGGTCTTTCCCAGCTCACCTCCCCGCTTCGCACCTCACCCATGAAGCTCACACCGCCTCTACTGCTCACCCAAGGTTCTCTCTGGCCACCACGCTTTTGCACCGGCTGTTCTGGTGCCAAAGACGCTTTGCCACCTCACCCCAGCCAATCCCCTAATTGCCCTTCAATGATCTGCTTAAACGTCACTCCTCAGTGATCTGCTTAAACGTCCCTGCCTGGTAGATTGCTGGATGTTCCCTCCTCCCCGCCCCCCAACCCATCCCCACGGACTTTGTACATCTTTGTACCTTGCCAGTCACTATGTCCTGTTGTAACTGTATTTACGTGTCTGTCCCCGTTACTCCGTACCCTCCTTGTCTACACCCATGAGCCTGGAACTGTGACTCGTTCCTTTGTGTATCCCCAGCACTTTGCACAGTGCCTGGGATGCAGGGAGGACTCAATAAATGAATGAGGAATGTGGTTTGTGCAGCCAGTAGATGGGAGACCAGTCAGGACAAGAGGGACAGTCTGCCGGGTGGGGACTGGGTCTAGGACAAGAAGGGAAGCACGGTCTGGCCCTTCCTGTGGCTGCTTGAGCAGTGGGGGGTGGGGGCAAGGGGTGTCTCTCTAGCCAGCCTTCCTGTGGCCCATCGCAGTACAGCCAGGGCACCTGCCTCCTGTCACACTGACTTTAGGACTGGTGGGACCCTAGGGAGCCTTTGCAGGGCAGCCCAACTTTGGACCTGGCCTGGGGAGGACAAGGTATGCTGGATACAACCAGACAGAACTGGGTACCATTTTGGGTTTTATCACTTGCTGCCTGGACAGGCTTGGGCGAGTTGTTTAACCTTTCTGAGCCTGTTGCCTCATTTAGCAAAACAGAAGCTAAGGATGCCTCCCTTATAAAGCAGGCACACAGTAGGCCTTAGCGAATACTAGTTTTCACCTTCTGGGTGAAATACGGCAGTGGAAATAATGGTTTTGTCTCTGAGAGCTAAGGTAAGCTATGCGTTCTATATCAGACACACCCTCCTCTCTCCCTGAAGGAGCCAATGGGGATGTTCCCCCTTCTCCAACCCTGATCCCACCCCCCCACACACACACACACACGGCGCCATTTCATAACCATAGTCAGAGTCTGGGAAGGCATTTCTTACAGCAGTTTCCACCATCATCTCACCCCCATGTGGCACCAATGTTAACCACCATTTTGATTTTCTCATCCCTTTCAGCCTCCAGGGTATTGGCAGTCCCAGACAGCTCCCATTGTAAGTTTCTTGCTCTCTTTGAAAACTCTTCATTTTGGTTCTTCCTGTGGGTTAAAAGGAGGAGGAGGGCCAGGAATTAGGCCTCTCCCAGAGGGAGGGAGCCCAGGCCAGATGCCTTGACCATCTGCCTGGTTGTGGTGGTGGTGGTGGCAGGGTTTTGGGGCAGGGGTGGTTGGCTGGCTCTGATGAATTAGGAAACAACTTGAATTCCCCAAGCCCCTGCCATTCTGTGGGCAATCACAGGAGGCTGACACCCCGCATTTACCTTTTCCTCCTACAAAGTGAAGCTATGCTAGAGAAATTCCCCTGAGAAGAAAACGGGCCACAGGCCACAAATGCAGCCATATTTCCTCTCAGAAGAAACCTTTGCTCCTATTTCATCCCCTTAAGAGAAGAAACACCTCTATCCTCCAGATTTGGGGAACCTGGTCAGGGTGACTTGGCTGGTTACCTGCTTGGAGGGCGTGTGTTAAGTGGTGCTCTCTCTTGGCAGGTGGTGGTCTTTACACTGGTGAGAGCTCATTAAAACCCAGTTTCTTTCTTCCAGGCTCAAACGATCATCCACTCTATGAAGAGCACCCCTGGACAAATGTTCTCTGTAAGTCTGAAAGCTCTGGTCCACTCACAGCCCCACCGTATCCCCATTCACCAAGGACTGAATTCTCTCGACCCAGAGGAGGAAAGAAAGCAGGACGATGGGGGCATTTGGGGCTGGGCCCTCTGCTTAGGACACATACGAGTCAAGCGTCCCTTGGACAGCAGAGATTCTGGATCAGACTGGCTTTACCCAGCAGCCCAAGAGGCGGGACCCTAGGGACCAGAAAGAAAACTGGTCCTTCTGTCACCAAGGGGGGAAATGCAGTGGCCCCAGCACCCGGATCTGAGGCCCTGCATGCTGAGGAACAGGCCCCAGGATGTCACAGGCATAAGCTGCTGCTTCTCTTCCTCCTACTGGTACAAGTCAGACAGGATGTCTGCAGTCAGTATAGCTGCCTGTAGAGGGGTCAAAGGCAGGTGACCATGATGGGGTCTGGGAATATGGGAGGAAGTTCCACCAAGGCTGACATGAGAGGGAAGGTGAACGGAAGGTGAAAGGGGCAGAAGCCTCACATTGGAGCGTCCCCTCTAGAGTGTGGGTGTGGGCGCACTCCCGCACTGAATTTCCTGGTCTCTTTTCAACAGAACCCTGTAACCCCACCTCCGGCATACAGCAACCCCACCTATGTAAGTGATTTCTCAGGGAGGACAGAGCTTTTGTTTGTGCTGGGCAGAGCGGGAGGGGAAGGGCAGCTTACAGCATTATTGTAAAAGCAGCTCTTTACTAAACTGAAGTTCTTCCAACATCCAGGTAAATGAGAAGGCTGTTGAAAGGAGCTTTCATCTTTAAAACTGTCCCTTCATCATGAGCATATTATATGGCCTTCCCTTCTCAGCCCAAGTATCCTTTTGTGTCCGGCCAACGTTCTTCTCATGACAGTTTAAGCCCATTAATTTGAGAAACCCTGGAAAGTTTTCCTTGGATATTCACTAACCAAGTAAAGATATCATGGAGTTCTTTCTTGAAAATAGGGTACTCACAGGCATGGCTGTCAAACTCAGTTGGCAGTCCAAATTCATGGAAATTTGGTAGAAAGTTCCCCCTCTAGTGGTGGGTGTTCTGGCGGCCGCTGGCTGACATGCCCCTCTCCTCCCGACAGCCGATGCCTTTCTTTACCGCCATCCCGGGTGGGCTGTACCCCTCGAAGACCATAGTCATATCGGGCACCATCCTGCCCAATGCTAACAGGTAAGCCTGGGCTCTCGGGGAGGAGAGCGACCCCAAGGTCACACTAGCCACCCCCCTGCCTCTAGGCAGGCTGGGAAGGCGCAGGGGCCCAGAGCTCAGTGGGCAGAGGAAGTCCATGGGAGCTGCCCATCCCCAGGTTCCACATCAACCTGCGCTCGGGGAGTGACATCGCCTTCCACCTGAACCCCCGTTTCGATGAGAATGCTGTGGTCCGAAACACGCAGATCGGCAGCTCTTGGGGGTCTGAGGAGCGGAGCCTGCCCCGAAAAATGCCCTTCCTTCGAGGCCAGAGCTTCACGGTAAGGTCCACGTGGGGCTTGGAGCTCAGAAGGGCTCTGGAGGGGCAAATGGAGCAGGGCTCAGGGAAGGGGGGTCTGGGGCCCCTCGAACAAGATGAGAGCTGAGGCCTCTGGGGTGAGTGCTGGGCCCAGAAGAAGAGAATGTATTCAACTCATTATTGTTATTATGGTTTTAGTATTACTGTCCACATAAGATAGGTGGTGGTAGCTGCTGTTTACAGATAGGAGACAAACTCTCAAGTGTAGGTTCCTTGCCTGAGGTCACACAGCCAAAAATAAGTGCCAGATGGGACCCAAGAATGAGGTGTCACTCATTTATTCACTCACGCACTCATTCATTCAGCAATTATTTATCCGCTCTTTTATCAAGGCCTACTTTGGGCAAGAAATAGGTGCTGGGGGGACAGCCAAGAAGCAGACAGATGAGGCCCTGCTCCCATGGAGGTTACAGTTTAGGTAGGGAAAGAACAGGGAACAAACGCATGGACAGGTCATTGCAGATCACAATGGGTTAGCGATGCCGAAAGCAAAACGGAATAATGGCACAGGGTAAGGCTTGGCGGGGGCCACGCTACCTAGATGGGGACGGCTCTCAGAGGCCACAGTGCAGTGGAGACCTGAATAATAGAAGGAGCCCACTCGGAAGATCTGAGGGGTGAATTCCCAGCAGGCAGCAGAGGGAGCAGCTATTATTGCAAAAGCGAGTGTCATGGGCGTGGCCTGTCTAGAAACAGGGAGGCCAGGAGCTTCTGGGTGGAGAGTGGGAACAGAGAGCTGTGGGATGGTGCAGCCAGAGGCCTAGATGACTCAGCAGGTGTTCTCAAGCTCCGTGACACATTCAAATCACCTGGAGAGCTTACAAAAGAAAAATCAATGCCTGGCCCTGTCCCAGGCCAATGAAGGGGTGAGCCTGGGCACATGTATTTTAAAATAAGCCCTAATACTCCTCACCCAGGGTTGGAAACGACCAATATAAGGCCTTACGGGACATGGAAAGGAGTTTGGATTTTAATACAGTGTGTTGTTGTGTTTCAAGCCAGAAAGCAGTATACTTTGATTTATACACAGCTGTGTAGCTTTGAGCAAGTGACTCAGTTGCTCTGTGCCTGTTTCCTCATCTAAAAATGAGGCTAATGACAACATCCATCTCATAGAGATGTAAGAATGAAACATCGTGTTTGTGACATGCATAGGACAGTGCCCGGCACGCAGTAAGTGTGCTGCGAGTATTAGCTGTTGCGAAGGGCATGCTGATAGTTTAACAGGTATGCTCTGACTGCCTTGCAGAGAATGGGGTGGAAAAGACAAGTTAGGAGGCTGTCACTGCAGGATTACAGGCATGGGACACTCCTGTGTGCTGGGTATTGGGGGCATGGATGGCACAGGCCAGCATTCCTGCCCCTAGGGGCTCAGGGTCCACTTGGAGAGTGAGGGTGGGGTGGGGGACATGGCCTGAGGAGGCACCTGACTCAACTAGGAGGGGGTCAGGAGGTGGGGAAAGATAGGGAAGGTTTGCTGGAGGGGGGTGTACTCCAAGGGGTGACTGGCAGTTATCCATGTGGGTGAGGTGTGCAGAGCAGGTACACAGGAAGAAGGGCAGGCTAGGCCAGGGGAACAGAGTAGGTAAAAGGACGAGAGGAGAGTACACGGCGTTTTTATGAAGAGTGAATCCTTCAGTGAGGCTAGAATGCAGGTGTGTGTGTGGGGGGTGTGGGGACGGGGGTGCGTACTTGATGTTTGAGAAAGGCAGGAAGGAGGGAGGGAGACGCCAGTCTGCGTTCAGGTTTGAGGACTTTCCAAGTGGCGTGCGAATGACATGGCCTTGGCCCATCTGTCCAGGTGTGGATCATGTGTGAAAGCCACTGCCTCAAGGTGGCTGTGGACGGTCAGCACCTGTTTGAATACTACCACCGCCTGAGCAACCTGCCTGCCATCAACAACCTGGAAGTGGGGGGTGACATCCAGCTGACCCATGTACAGACATAGGCAGGATCTGTGGCCCTGGGGACAGGGCCTGGGGCATGTTGCTGCCTGGAGCTGTGCATCGTCTCCCGCTTCTCTGTCCCTGCCCCAGCCTCAGCCCTTCCCAGCCTGCCGAGGGCCTGGGGCTTTTCTGCAGAGCCCACCTTCGTCCTTGTCCGGCCCTGCTTCTGACTGTAGTTAGCCTGGAGTGAAGAAAGCAGCTGGCTAGGACTGCTTTCCTCAGTCAGGGCAGCACCCGGGGCTCCAGCTGCCCAGATCCTACTATCCAAGGAGAGTGGTGGTCTGTGTAAGCTGAAGCCCCATGTCCAGTCGCCTCGGCAGAAAGGGAGGGAGGGTCCTGGGCTTCCCACGCTCCCAGCCCAGGCCTACCCCCGTCTACCTCTCAATCCCATCCCCACACTCCATTCAAGTCCACCTCCAGCCCAAGCCATCAGCTGGTCACTCACAGGGGAGGCCATCTCCTTGGTGCCTCCCCTTTCTCCAGCCTTTAACCTCTCCTGCACCCTGCTCCAAGCCTTCTCCCGCTCCAGGAAAGTGACTTTGGTTAACACTGGCTGGTCACCACCAACTGATAGGGACCTTTCTCAGCTGGGGGCTTCCCCCCTTTCCAGCATCCTTCAAATAAAGAGAGAAAGAAAAATGAACATATGCACGGGATGGTTGTGGTTTATTAAATGTGTGTGGAGACATTTTGGACTCTGGAGTTGGGGAGGTCCTGGTCAAGGACATAGCGTGGGCTCACTTTGATCCGGGGGGTCCTGACATCCATGCCTGCTCCCAGTGGGTCCCCCACAAGCCCCACAAAGCTGTGGGAGAAAGCAGGCTGCCTCAGGGCCTCCTGGGGAGGACTTTCTAAAGCAGGAAGCTTGGTAATAGAGTGAACCCAGGAAACAGCCTCACGCTCCTGAGACAGGCCGACGGCTGGGCCAGAGCCTGTGATGGCCACAGCAGGGCCAGAGGTCAGACAGCAGGGCCGGTTCATCAGAACCTTGTGTCCCAGTGGAGAAAGTGGCAGGTGGGGTCAGGAGAAGCTGACTCAGAAGCGAGGCTTGTTTGTGTTGTTCCACTGTGAGCCCCCCAGTTAGGGGGTTAGGGTGTGTTGGGGAAAGTGGCTCAGTGTGGGGGTTCTGCCAGCCACTGGGCCAGAGCAGGGGGCCCAGCTCTGTGTCCATATGATGCCAACACACCTGCTAAGTCCACCAAGGATCCAGTGCCTCCGGAACCAGGCTCAGGCTCAAAGCAGCCCTTGGACCAGCAGCACCTACAGCACCTGGGAGCTTATTGAAAATACAGAGTCTCGGGCCCTGCCTCAGACCTCCTGAATCAGCGTCTGCACTGTAACGAGACCCCAGGCAGTCCGTGTGTATGTCAGAGTGTGAGAGGCGCTGGTCCAGGTGGCTGCATTCTTGACCACGTTATTCAGGTGCTTTGCTGGGACACTGGAAGCTGCCATGCCCCCTTCTCCCTCCACCACCCCATCTGAGAAGTGGGGGGTGGGGCAGGGAGCCAACGAAACAGACGCCAAACCCAAGCTGGGAGCCAGACTTTGCCAAACCTCCGAGGAGCCCCTGGCTGAGCTCCTTCCTTGTTCTCACCGGGAGAAGGAAACATGGCTCAGGCCCTTAGGAAGCCTTTCTCGAGGAAGATGTGTGTCCTCCACTCACTGCCGAGGCCTTGACGCGCAGCCCGACCTCACCTGCTTTGTCATACAGGTGCCAAGTCATTACTGGCCACACTGTCACGGAGCAGGCGGCCCCAGAGCAAAATACATGACTTCGTAAGAGAGACTGTGGTCCGGGCCTTCAGAACTGGCATCATGGTCTGTCCCCCCTCCCTGCCCCCACCTGTCCCCTCGCGTCCACTGAGGCCCCGCAGGCAGGCCTGTGCCTCCCTCGTCCCCACCATGGCTTTCAGTTGTGCATTCTGTACGCTGCCCCCTATACCTGGTGGCCATTTCAGAGAAGCAGTGTGGCCAAGCTGCTAAGTCCCTTGGCGGGGCGGGGGAGGGCGGACTTTTGTCTGGGCATGGCACCCACTACCAGTCCTCAACTCTATGTAACTTAGGGCTGCTTTTCCTACAAAACACCCACACACACACACATTCAATGTGGTTAAAATAAAATACATTTTATATAACTATCTCCATCAAGGAGTCATACAGGGAAGGCTTAAAAGGCCCTCAGCAGCAGACTTTTTTTTTTTTTTTAAATACAGTACACAGAGGGACTAGATATGGGGTGGAGCAACAGCGCCTCACGATGGTGACTTGAAATGATGCAGTCAGAAGAAGGGTCCATCCTTCTCACCCACTGGCCAGGCCAGGCATTGCAGATTTACTCTCCAAGGGACCAGGGGGGCCCCAATCCTCCATTATCAGGGGAAGGGTGGGCTCAAGGGAGACAAGAGGCTCCGCTCAGTCCAAGCTGCTACTTGGTAGCAGATCAAGTAAAGGCTTTGAGGAGGAAGGAGATGGGGAAATAAGACGTGAGGTTTGGGGATTTCACATCCCTCCATCTCCGCAGACCCTGTGACCTCCGGTAACTGAGAGTTGGCGTCATCACGAAATTCTACGGCAGCAGCTTCAACTTCTCCTGGGCGCTGTTGGTGCTCTGGGATCGCTGGCCTGCCCTGCTGCCCCATCCTTTTTTCCCTCGTAGGGAAATACAGCACCAAAGATATCTTCATGATAGCGCTTCTGGCTCTTTAAGAGAAAACAGAGACCAAGGTGTCAGCTCTGCTGGTCCAGCTACCTCTCATTTGTCAGGTCCAAGCTAGGACCAGCCTGTGAGGATGCCTCAGCATCACTTATACACTCATGAGCCATTTGCCTACCCAACTGTCGTGCTTGGATTACACTTGACTCGCACTTAGACTCTTTAGCTCCCGCCCGCGCCCACCCTGTTGTGGAGACCACCTAACCATCTCCTTGGGCTTTATGATGGACAGTACAGCCTGCCTCGTGCTTGTCCCGCTAGATGCTCCTGGAAATGGGGGCTCTGACATAAATACGTTTGGTGATGGCTGCATGCTTTCTCCATCTTAAAGTGTCACGATGCACAATAGCCATGTGAGAGGCTCCGAAAGTCTTATATTGGGTTGTCGGAAAAGTCACAACAAATTTTTCTGTGTTTTTTTGTTGCAAAAATGCGTCATGACTTTTCCGTCAACCCAATAGTTTGCCTTTGTTTAACTGAGCAACCAGATCAGGATGTACACAGTCAGGCCTCTCACAGTCCCTCCAGCTCTGACCTCCAGCCACCATACCTTAAGCTGGAAGAAATAGTCCTCGACCTGCTCCTCACTCAGGCTCAGCTTGGCAGCCACCAGCTGCTTCAGGGTGTGGGCCACATCCCGGGCCATGCGCACATCCCCACAGACATAGAGGTGGCCTTGCTCCTTGTGGAGCAGGCAGAGCACCTCATCAGCCAGCTGCTGCCGCAGGATGTCTTGAACATAGACCTGAAACCAGAAGAGATGGTGGGTCCAGGCCCCTGCTGCTGGGGGCGAAGCTTGCAGTCAGGCCTGCTGGCCACGGGGAGGTGGTAAGGGGTCACTATGGACTGAAGGGTGAGCACCCCTCAGTTAGGACCTGGCACAGGGACCAGGCCCAGGAACCAGGCCCAGCGTGAGGAGGTGCGCTGGTACCCTGCTTGGCCCCAGCCTGCCCTGGGGCTGGAGAGAGGAATGCTGGCCACAGCCCTGTCCTCGGGGAGGTCCAGTGGGACTCCCGGATTTACTCTGAATTCACCATGCTTTCAAGAGGCACCAATCAAGCCACTTCCCCCACCCAGGGTTCTGAGGCCCACCTGCCTACACCCCAGAAAAGGGAGCCTCTTGGCGCAGAAAGTCTGTGGGATCTCCACTGTAATTCAGAGCAGGGCACAGAGCCCCGGGCTCCCCACTGACAGAGAAGTCCAGGAGTCAACTGGGGACCCTGCTGTTGTTCCAGCACTGGGCACAGAGCACTGGCCCTGGGAGGAGCCTTGAATGGGACAAGTTCGTAAGCGCTGAGCCAAGTCTGTCCCGACTCCCCAGGCTCATGGGGTAAAGGGCCCCCTTTGGGGCAGCAGAGCTCGTCAGTGGGCCCGTGGTAGGAGCAGCAGCCGCCCTCCAACCTTGCTGTGCTTGAGCGTAAAGCCAGCCTGGACCACCTCTCCCCAGTTGGTTTTGTATCCTGGGGGAGAACCTTCAGCAGGTTGGGCTCTGGGGATTAACCCACCATGTGGCCCTGACTTAGTCCTGAACGGCTCAGGGCCTGTCTCTTCTCCTGGAAGAGAGGAGTATTAGCTTCACAGCATGGCTCAGACAGTTGTATAACTGCCTCAGAGAGGTGAGGGGGCATGTGGGGTGCCAGGGCACCCACCATGGTCTGTGCTTTTAATGCTCTGCCCACTGCACAGGCAATTGCTGCATTTACCTTGGGCTGGCCAGGCAGGCGAGAATAGGCCGTGTGCACCTCATGCAGCACCCCCTTCTGGACCATCTCCAACATTTCCTCTCGATAGAGGTGGTCCTCGTCTGGGCGCTGGCACCCGAATAGCAAGGTCATGCGGCCAGCCCGGAGCCCTGCAAGACCCAGCAGGCTGCAGTTACCAGGGTGGCCACCAGAGGGCAGGCATCAAGGCCTGACAAGCTGGGTGCCCAACGTGAATTCTCATCTCATCCCCATGAGTATCCTATCTATTGGGTTGTCGCAAAAGTCATGAGGTAGTTTTCTATGTTTTCCATTGCAAAAATGCGTCATGACTTTTCCAAGAACCGAATAGTACTTTCCCCATTTTACAGCTGAAGAAACTGAGGCCCAGGGCGTTTAGATCGCTTATGCACACAGGCTGAGGTAAACTTGGAATAGGAGCCAAGAATCGTGTATGGGCAGTGGCACAATTCTCCTGCAGCCCCAGTTCTGCTCCCAGGCAGGTGCTGGCCACCTGGTGCCCCCCACTCCCACCCCTGGGAACCCTCCAGCAGTACCTTTGTGCTCAGCGTCATGGAGCCGCTGCTGCCAGAAACTGCGGAAGGGCGCGATGCCTGTGCCAGGCCCGACGAGGATGCAAGGATGGGAGGGGTCCTCAGGGAGCTGGAAGTTGCTGGCACTGAAGGGGACAGAAGGAGGGACGCCCTAGTCCTCAGGCACCATGGGATGGATGCACACGCCGGACGGGGGCTAGGGATCTGGGGTGGGGATGGGGGCAGGTATGGTTGGGCATGGTAGTGTTGGGGGGTGCAGAGAAGACAATGAGCTCAAATTTGATACCCAAATCCTGCAGGCTGCTTCCTTTTCCCTGACCAGACCCACCATCACCTCGCCCTGGGGTCCCTTTGAAAAGGGCTGAGCCTCATTGTACTCTGTCATCTTTATCCCTGCTAGAGACCTGGCCATGCTCTATAGCCAACTCATAGACTGGAGAGGTCCAGTGTGACCCCCAGTGTTTTCTTTATGGGCCCAGAGTGGCACGTAAACCCCAGATCCCGCCCTTTCAACCCACAACTCCCAGCAGCCAGTAGTCCGGGGGTGCTTACCTTCGTACAAAGCAGGGCACTGTGTCCTGGGGCTTCAGGCTGCTGAGCCATGTGCTGCAGACGCCATGGTGCAGGGGGCCCTGGCCATCTGCAAAGACAGCACAGACCTGACTAACACTGCCCCCAGAACCCCGTATGTGAACCACTCCAGCGGTTCCTCCCACACTGAGGCACCTCCTCCAACTGTCCGCTGAGGCACTTGGTGAGCTTTAATGTGGGAGCTATTTTACTCCTGGTCTTGAGATCCACCCTCCATACACCCAGAGCTGGTGAAAACTGAAAGGGTCCTAGAGAGTATGCAAGCCTCTCCTTTGGCCACTACAGAAACTGAGTCTCAGAGAGGGACAGTGACTTGTGCAAGGTCACTCAGATAGCAGTAGAATCGTATCACAGTTCAGTTTCCCTGGCTCCTACTCCACTGCTCCTTCTAAGAGTTTCTCCATGGACCCTCCTAGCACACAATTCAGCTCCAAGGACATTTGCACCCTGAGGGTGGCCACAGTCACTGCCTCCAGAGTGTCTTCACAAATGTAGTCCTTACTGGTAGGACACCTGGGTGACGGACAACCTCCTGAGCATTCCAGTCTGCTCTGAAATCTGTGTGTGGACCCTCCTGGGCTTGTGGAAACCCCAGCTTTCTCTGGGGTACATTCCCTTCCCAGTGGCCCAGCATTTAAAGGGACCTCCAACCAACTTGGAGAAGTCCCTTTGGTTTTCTTCTGGATGGAATCTTGCTCTCATAGGATGTACCTGCCTCTCCCCTCCTGGTTTGAGGACTGAGACTGGGCCTATGTGATGTTCTCTGCCCAGTTTTTAGAAACTGCATGATTGTGCATCTGAGAACACAGAGGGCTCTGAGGTATGGGCCAGCTCACCAGCTTTGCCAACCCAGGCATTGCTCAGTTATGGAGGGCAAGACAAGAGCGTGGTTCATCCAGTCAAGGTGCCAAGCCCAAGTGGACGTGGTTTGGGACCTCCTAGTCTATGTCAGCCCATCCCCCAATATTCTGCCCTCTTAGCACCCTACGCATTCCTTCTCAGCACCTACATATGACAATTGTCTATTTCTACGAGTCTCTCGTTATTGTCCCCACTAGATGAAGAGCTCCATGTGGGCATTCACACACCCACCATGGTGCCAAGCATAGAGAGGTATGAAATAAATCATTGCTGAATGAGTGAGTGAAGGAATGAACAATCAAGGCAGAATCACCCCTGTATTCAGGCTGGACTATCAGGAAGATGAAGTCACTGGGCTCCCACTGAGTACGGGGTACTTTCCACATTCTCATTAAATTGTCCCAACAGTAGTGGTACCGTAAAGTGGAGAAGGGTGGTTAAGAACTTGGACTCGGCAGACTACTTGGGTATTCATCTCAGTTCTCTACTTGCTAACAGTGTGACTTTGAATAAGTGGCTGAACCTCTTTGTGCCTCAGTTTCTTCACCTGTAAAATGCACACAGCACCCATCTCCCACGGATCCCCATAATACGTACACAAAGGGGCAGCCCAGCGCCTGGCTCAGGGTACTCTCTCCCACACACCTGCTATTGCTCTAACAACTCTGGAAGGTGGGTGTTTAACTGATGAGGAGACCGAAGCTCAGAGATGTTGAACAGCTGCCCAAGAAGTAGAGTCAGGCTGCTCCAAAGCCTCTGCCCCAGGCTTACCTCGGGTGCGGTAGGTGAGCACAGCCACGGTGAGGTGGACCTCCGTGGGTGTGCGGTCCCTGGAGGAGCTGATGGAGTAGTATCGGGGCTTCAGAATAGGGAGCTGGGAGAGCAGGAAGCTGGCAGACACCCGCAGGGAGGGAAACTCCTCTAGCACCTCCAGGAATGTGAGGCTGTTGGTGAACTTCCACTTGTTGTATTCTGAGGGCTGAAAGTAAGGGCAGTGTGAGTGACTCAGGGCACCTGCCCCACACTGAGACAAGAGGCTCTCACAGTCCAGGATTCATTCATTCATTCCCTCTCTCAACACACTTTGAAGTACCAGGTGCTGTCCAAGGTGCTGAGACTACCCAGCTGGAGAGGAAATAGTTCCTATCCTGGAGGAACTCAGGCCAGCAGGTAGCATTTATCTAACTCGTGCTTAGACATCACTGTCAGCAACTTGTGGGTAGGAGTCAAATCTTTATTATAACCTAATTTGGGGCAGGGCTTTGGAATCATACAGGCCTGGGTTCAAATCTTGACTGGGTGTTGTGACTGGATGCTTGTTTGAGAGCTGTAGGATCTTGTCCCAATTACTTAACCTTCATGGGGGATGTTGTGAGAATTAAATGGGAATGTGTGCCAGGTTCGTACAGTGCAGCCACAGGATAATGGCAATGGTGGTGGCTGCAATCATGATAATTAGCAATAATGATAATGGTAATAATGACATCCAGTGCCTTTTGCAAAGACTTAGACCTAGAAACTTGCAGGCGAGTTAATGTATTCTCTTATTAATTTATTAATTCAACTACCCATCTGTCACTATGTCCGTTTATCCATTCATCCACACCATCCATCCTCCAACACTTCTTAAATCCCAGGTTTGTTCCAGGTTTGGGGACTACAAAGACAGATAAGACATAGTGACTCTTTTTTTCTAGATAACGTCTGAGGAAGTGCACTTTGCTTGCATCCTTCAGACACTCAGAAAAACCCAGTTCACTCAACGCAGCTGTGTCCTAGAGATGGGATGGGAGAGGACGCCTGACTTCCCACCAGCCTTCGACAAGTCTCACCTTGGGATGCTGGGGTGGATCCCCCTTGGAGGTGAAAGGCCACGTCTGGGCTCTGGCCTCCCCTGACTCTGGGACCCTGCCACTGCCTCACACACCAGCCATGACCTTTACCTGGCACAAGGTCTCCAGCCTCTGTCTCTCAGCCTCTTCTGTGGCCAGCTGAGCCAGCTTTTGGAGCAGCAGCTGTGTTGGGGGGGTGGTAATGTCCAGGAAGTAGGTGAGGGCCTGGCTGAGTGAGCAGGGAGGCAGCCGCTTCTCCCTGACCCAGTAGCTGCCTGGATAGAGAAAGACGAGGTCAGGATGAAGAAATGGTCCAATTTCAGGTGATGAGGCCTCTGAGGCAGGCACCCTCCACCCTCCAGCTGCAGGAGAGAGAAGATACTGATGTTCTGCCTCCAGGAACAGCAGCAGGGCTCATGTGCCCAACTCAGGTCGGTAGGTGGTGCCCAGAGACAGGGTGCAGGGGAGGCTGATCAACAGCCCTCCAAAGGGCACCCAAGGTGACACATTCTTAAAAAACTAACTATGCACTAGGCTCCAGTCCCTGTCTCACCCAGACCTGAAACTTAACGGGACACCCACAGGTGGACTACAGACTCACAGGGACTAAATCCATCATAGACTGATGTACGCCCCAGAGGGCAGTTGTTCATTTAGAGAAAAGCACATGACTGCAGTCCCCTGGAGCACTATACCAAGAGGTGCTGGTGGAGCAGCCAATCTGCCCAAAGTGAGGTGGCAAATCTCTAGGAGTCCCAGGGGCAGCATACAGGGTGGTCACAGCATGGATCCTGGGGCCAGTAGACATGGGTTCCAATTCTGGTTCCCCACTTACTAGCTGGGCGACTGAACTCTCTGAGCCTCGTGTTCTGCCTCTGGGAAATGGACGTGATAACAAAACCTGCCTCGCTGGGTTTGTGTGAGCATTGTATGAAATGGTGCAGGTATAATAGTTGGTACAGTGTCTGGGACGGTGCTCGGTAAAAATATTCTTATTACATGATTTGGTCTAGACTCAAGGCCTAATGAGCCACATCTGTCTCCCTACAGTCATGAGAACGTCCCTGTCCCCTCATCCCCAAGCTTCAGGCTCTCTCTCATTCTCCTGGACCGTGGGGGACAACACTAGACTTTGCTTCTCGAACCCCTGCTGTCCTATTTTGGCCACTCTATTTAAGGGGACACATGCTTGGAGGTGTCATCATCACTGAGGAAGCTAAGGCCAGGAAGGTAGACCTCTGGCCGGGAGGGCTGCTGGTGGTTGATTTCATTAGTTTACCTCTCCTAGTGCCTGGCACCTTGTTTTGTGCTCACCACATAGACTGAGAGCCTCATCTTAGCACAGGAAGGGGGTGCCCTGGACGCTCCCTAGGACAGCGTCTTCTGCCCTGCAAAGATGGTTAGACAGAGCCAGACTCTCCTGGTCACCTATGGCCCAGGGAAGGTGGGGATAAATCAGAACCACCGTGGGGAAGCAGTATGAAATTAGAATACTGTGAAAACACAAGGAGGTTATAAAGTTTGGGATCCAGGAAAGTCTCGGCGTATGCTAAATCCCTTCTCTGACCTCTGACCTTCTGGACAAATGTTCAGTAGCCTGTGGGAAATGGACATTCCCTCCATTTTTCCATTTATTTGGTGCCAGGAAATTGCTCTTGACAACAAGCCTACAAAGAAGGCTCTATTATCTCTATTTTAGAGACAAAGAAATAAAGCCTTGAGCAGTCACATGCCCAAGGGCACATAGCTGATAAATGATGGATCAGGGACTTCACCCTTCAAAACTCACCATTTTTACACTGTTTCCCCATTTCTCTATTATGTGACCGAGCAAGCTGTACTTATGTGGCTATCGTGGGGACTAAAGAGACATATATATAAAATGCTGGCATGTAGTAGTTACCCAACAAATGCTAGCTGCTATAGTTATTATTATAGTAACTATTATTATGAATATTCTTGTATATCTGCCTCCCATTCTAGGTAGTGAGCTCTCTGAGGGCAGACACTGTGTCCCATTCATTTTTGTAGCCCAGGTCCTGTCTGTTCTATAGATGTGACCAGTTAAAATGTTGATGGAAAAATAAATGAATCAGTCAATCAACAAAAATGTGGCCAGATGAGCAAAAGAATGAAGGCAAGAAAACTCCCCAGCCTCTGGTGTTGGGAAGATAGTCCCAAAGAAGTGTCTCGACCCGCCAGCAGGTCAAGAATTGCTTGCATGGCTGCTTCAGCACAGGCTTGGGCGGCCCACCTACCCAGCAGCTCAGGCCTGGGCTCAGCCCATCAGCTCCATGAGGGGTTGGCTGGAGGATGTTGGGGCCACCTCAGCAGAGGCTGCGTGCAGAGGACTCACCGTTCTCACTAAGGGTCTCCAGGCACATGAGTTGGTGGGGTGCAGGACTGTCCACCAGCCGCTCCAAAATGCCTTGGACCGAGGCTGGCTGGTTACTTGGGAAAACCCCCAGGTGGTCTCCGGGCAGGTAGCTGAAATCTTGGCTGCCCTCACAAGAGAGTTCCACCAGGAGAGTGGTGCGGCTGGAGAGGGGGAAAAGAAGCCTCTGGTGATGCCGCCAGGATTTCCTCCCAAGCTCTCTGATGGGTGGGCCCGTTTCCCCAGGAAATGTGCCCTCCTTTCATTTTCCTTCCTGGTTCCATGAGCACAGGTCGCTGGCATCCCCTGAGGCTGGGTGCTCACGAGACCTGCGGCTGACCAGGCCTGCGGCTTCTCCGTGGGGAGAAGGTGGGCTGCCTCCCTCCCTGGGCAGTCCTTCTGAGCCCACCAGCGTTTGACCACAGATTCTCCCTAAAGAGAGCATCCCACTGGGAGATATGTGGGCATTGGGACAACTTTCCCCTTGTCCTCAGCACAAATCCGGTTCTTATTAGAAATTGGCTCTGCAGAACAGTTTCCCTAATGAATGGGGGAGGACAGCACAGAGAAACAAAACCTACAGAGACTCCACGACACGCTCTTACCCTGGCGGAGAAATGTCCTTCCCTGCCAAAACTTTTCCTAAGAGTTCTTAAGAAAGAACCAAATGGTTTGAGTTTCTCCTGCTCTGCCTTTTGGGTGAAAGAGTTAAGTGACAGAGGACAGGAAAGGAAGTAGGTGCCTTGTCCCCAAGCTAGAAAAATTGGTCCCTGGTTAATGGAGACCAGACATAAAGGCAGTGGTGGCCACAGGGTGACCAGTCACACTGGTCCTCACCGATGGCACTATTGCTGATGCCAGCAGACACATCTTTCTTTCCAAAGACTAACTTGCTCTGGTTTTTCTTCATTAAAATCAAATCAGTGGAGCAGCCACCCAAGAAACCCCGTACTCTACCCCACCTGGATTTCGGACTCCGTAGATTCTGCTGCGATTTGAGCTTCATGGTGAACACATTCTTGGCGTGCATATTGCTGAGAGCTGTGGGGACAGAGAGACGGTGAAATGGCCAAGTAGCTCTTAAGCGTTGGTGGGGCAGCCTCCACACGTCTGTGTCAGTGACCCCCGGACACTGCCCTTGGGATGTCCCCCTGTGGTGCTGGTAGGGTTTTCTTTCCATTCCTTTTCCCCACTGTGTTTCTGAATCACAAATAAAGACCTCTGGGTCTGGCAGAGGGTGGTTGTGCTACTGCTGGGGGTTGGGAAATGCAATTTCGATGCCTAAATATGGGGATTTCTAGGACTTTCCCATGGCTTGGGGTCCACAGGAGAGCACAGGTAAAGCTGAGGATATCCTGAACATGCAGAAACCTGCAGGACCATTGTACTCATGGCACAAGAAAAAGAGGAAGCACAGAAGCACAGCGTCCCGAGGGCGCTGTTGAGAGTCCCCAGACTGCAGCCTGAAATTGGCTCTGCAGAACATTCTTGACACTCCTTGGCTGCCATCGGAGCTGGAAGGCTGGGGCTCAAATCTCAACTTGGCCACATGCTAACAACTCCCTCAACTTCAGTTTCTCTGTCTGTGCCCTTTTCACTTCGAGAGGGTGGGCAAAGAGCCCCGCACAGTGCCTGGCACACAGGTGGCCCTCAGTTGGTGCCAGATCCCTTCTCTCTCCATCTCCCTCCCAGGGCTTCCTTCTGAAACGGCCTCCCTCAGAAACGAAGCAAGGCCTCGACTCGGCCACCCCAACCGGCTCTTGGAGGTACCAAGAGAGAGATGCCAGGCAGCCCTAGGTCAGCTGCCTCTGTTCAGAGGGTCCTAGTGGTCTCCTCGGCCACAGGCTGAGAGCTCAAAGACCCCGACCCTGGCAGGAAGGGCACGCAAGCCCCGTGTGGTGCAGGGAAGAAGGTACCTTTGTTGAGGTCCAAAGGCTGTGAGTCTTGCACGAGCCTGTATTGGTGCGGGTCCCAGGTCACCTTGGTGGTGTAGAGCCTGGGGATCTGAATGCAGTGTTTGCCTCGGACATTGAACGTGTCACAGGCTGCCTGGAAGAACACAGAGCGAATTGGTGTTAATAATCGTCATTGACATCGGCAGTGGCATCACCACCATTGGAGGCACCCATTTTAGGTCCTTACAACTGAGCTAAGTGCTTCATATAATTACTAAGCCCACTTTTCTGGGTGGGCTGTGTGTTTGGCACACAGTAGCTATTGGTATTATGATGAATATTGATATTGACAGTATCTCCTTTTATCAGCATGCCCACACCATGAAGCAGGTGTGAGTACTTCCATTTTCCTATGGAATCCCCGGCCTGGGCTTGAGCACCACGTCTGCTGCGACTCAAGCTGGTGCTCCTGGGAACCACTGCTGGGTGAAACACTTTGCTTAAATGAAGAGTTCGCTAAATCAGAGCCTCAAGCCATAGGTGACAAGGACACATTGACACAGGTCCAAAGAACTCAATTGTGTGGTCTCTGTCCCCACCTCTCTGTGGCTAGGAGAATGAAATAATACAAGAGGTGACCTGAATAATCAGAGGGGGAAAGATCTTAAACCAAAGCTCCCTGAGGGCAGGGATGTGTCCTAGCCACCTTCTCCCACTCAGGGGACACCCGCTTACAGTGGAGCTCTTCTGGGGGGTTGAGTGAGAGCAGCATGAACTCTCAGGCCTGCAACCCCAGCCCACACCTGGGACCATGCCTACAGATGTCCTGGGCACAAATGCACCTTAGCACCCAGTCCATGCTATGGGCAGCTCCAGCTGCGAACTGACCTTGAACGTTTGCATGGCCCAGCTGCGGAAGGCCTCCTCCTGCCCACTGAGCTCGTCCCCTTCCCCTGTTGGGGTGAGCTGAGAGGCTCCCAGGTGGGACAACTTCTGGTCAATGTCATGGGCAAACGCGCAGAACTGAGGGTACATGCTGGAACCAAGGCCGAACACGGCATACCTGCCGAGGAGGACACACGCATACAAACAGACGGGGATGAGCCAATCCATGGAAGCATCACCCAGCAGCACCAACAGCCCATAAGGCCAGCCCTAGACACTCCCACTCCAGCCAGACATAGGACCCGCCAGTACAGCTCCCCTTCCGGTCCTCCCTGGCTCCCGAGCCTATCACTAACTCTCATAACCAACCCCATGCTTCACCTGCAGACCTGTTAGAGGGCCTTGGTTTCCCTGGCTTGATCCTTGACACAGGCTGAGGACAGGCTCTCGCTGTGCCCGGACATCCCAGAGAAGGCCCCCTCAGACATACCCAGTTCCAGACTCTAGGCCCATAAAGCAGGGCTCAGACAAGCGGGGGTGGGGAGCAGCCTTACCTGAACTTGTTGGTGAGCTCTTTCAGCATGAACAGGGATCTCTTCAGTTTCTAAAAAGAGAGAGAGACACAGAGTTCTCAGGACAGGGTTCATCAAAGCACTATCTCTTCTCTTCTTCTGATGGCCCATTTAAAAACTAACCACGTCTGGCAGGAGAAGGTTCAAGATCCACAAATGAACGTTGGTTCATGTGTACGGCTGGGGCTCAGGGACAAGTTCAGCCCTAGCAAGTCATGTGGGCCTGACCCTCAAGGAGAGGATTCAGAACAGCCCAGCTCCCAACTCACCCAGCCCTGGTAGAGCTGGGCCTGGCCTCCCGCAGGGCATCTCCAGGGAGTCTCCTAACGGGGTGTGAGTGAGCCTCTCTTCTTGTTTGAGACCTGATTAGAGCAACGACTGGTCCCATATTCTCTAAAATAACCCTGGTTTCCCAGGAACTCAAGATAACTTTAGGTGGTACATGACCCAGCATAAATAGTGTCCAAGTATTCTCTTTTCTGTAATTTTTTAAAAGTTATTCCTAGTTCAATTACTTTTTCTTGTCCTCCTGAACACTAGGGAGAAAGTCTTAGATTGGTGTTAATAGAATCTTAACACCTCTTTAATACATGCCTATTACTCTTTTATAAAACACAAAGCAAGCCATGGTTAGGCTATGGTATCTAGCTAAAATTCAATAACTTTATTTGGCTTTCATCGGATTTGTTTTTTGCTGCCTTCCCAATTGTGAGTGTGATCTAAAGTTTTCTTTAACCATGAATTTTTTTATTTTATTTAAAAAGGTAGGTCAATTTACCGAACTGTATTAAGCATATCAGAGGAAAGGTGGCACCTGCAGATGGCAAGAATTATGAAGGACACAGGCAAAATGGCTGACATTAGGACCACCCAGAGGGATCTGAGCACTTACTCCCAAAAGTCATCCTTAGGACAGGTTGAACGCCCCAGATCCTTTCCTTGCTCTTCTTGGGCCCTGCCGCCCCCCAGACCACTGGGACCTGGGCTACCCACCTCTCCGTTGCCAGGGGAGTCTCCGTTCCCAAAGGTGCTGGTCACCACCAGCAGCAGCTGCTCCTCCTCCAGGCTGCGCAGCCTGTACTCGTCCATGCAGACCACCTGCAGGGCACCAAGGGTGGATGTCAGCCCCTGGTTCCCGGATGGGGCTCTCGGCACCCTCCTTAGACACCCGGCACTTCCCTCCCTGGCCCAGGCTGAAGGCCCCCTTCATCATCCTGTCCCCGGCTGTGCCCAGCACAGGCGTGGCACAGAGGAGGTGAGAGCTTAACAAATCCCTGTCAGGTGAACCTACTCCCCGCCTCAAGCCCCACCCATCACATGTCAGCGAGCCCTGGAGGCTTGGCCTCCAGGACACTGCATGTCCCAAATCAAAGCAGGTTCACCACTGCCACGGCTATTTGGATTCTGTGGGGACATACTTTCCATACAAATGGGATAAGCACGTTATAAAAATGACTCCTTTGGTGCCTGAGGAACGCAGAGGCTTTGCCTGACGCTAATCTCAGGTGAAGGGTGTCACTGTCTCGCTGTCCTACCCAGATTTGGGGGTCCTTCACTGATGAAGGAATAAATTAGTCACTCTTTGGGGATTTATTTGTCTGCATATTATTCATCCTTTCCCCCCTTCACATTTTGCACTGTACCCTGTATGGAAGGTGATAATTCAGTCAACAGGAATACAATTCATCTAGAGCAGCTCATGCATAGCGAGGCTTAGATGCATTAGGAAAGTGTTTCTCAGACTGTGTTCCCTGGGACACTCTTAAAAACGTATTTACTGTGTAGGTATGGGAATCCCTGGACACACATCTATCCTCCTATCACAGGTGGACAATGTACAGCAGCGCATCCAAGGCTCTGAGACATCCAGGAGCAGGGCAACCATTTTAACTTTCCCAGACTTCTCTGCACGCAGGTAGAGAAAATGGCGCACGTGCAGCTGAGTCGGCTACCTTGGGGTTGAAGGCACAGCTGAACAAAGCCCTTAGGTCCTGGGCCAGCATTTCTGATTTTCCCGTCTCTGTCGCAAAGAGGATTGTAGTTCTAACTCGGAGTGCCATGGTCTTGCGCATCAGCATAGAGGTGAAGAGCACGGCTCTGTGGGGACAGACAGACAGACTCTGTGTGCTGAGTCAGCCTTGCAGAGAGAGAGTGGGTGCCCAGGAGCAGGGGAGGGGGACAGGGTTTAAAGTGGGGCAGGTTAAGGAAAAAGAGCCCATGTTTGTCACCAGCTATCAACCCTGTGTCACTGTCCTTCTCCTGCCTTCCTGCTCAACCCACTACTCAGCCCCTTTGGGAAAATGGAGGAGAGAGGAGGCTGGAGCAATGGCGGCAGGTGACCCTTGGAGTTGGTGTGCAAACCTCTGGGAGCCAAACTCCATTAGGATGATCTTTTCTCTTGGTTCCCTGCTCTTTCAAGGTCTAGAGGGCAGGCTGACTAGAAGGAGGAAGGGCTGCGGATCAGAAAGCAACACTGGCCGCTCCCACTTACTTCACCAAGACTCGGAATCGAATCTCTCTTCTCTGGGGTCTCCGCTTCTCATCCTGCCAGACGTGGGTTTTCCAGGCCTCCACCTTCAGAAAAGAGGGCAACATGAGAGGAAGGTGGGCCCGGGCTCAGCTTGGGCTTGGGGATGCTGGTGAGACGGAGGACCTTCGTGCCCTTCGTGAGTTGGGGGGCAAGCAGGCCCTGTCCTCACCGCACCCCCACCTCACTGTAAGCCCTAGAGGGGAGGGCTGTGTCTATCTGTGTCCCTTGTACCATGTGGTCCATTGATTTTATTCTCTTTAGTGTCCCCCTGGAAGGAAGAGACCCCACTTCTCTTTTGATTTTAGTTTCTTATCACTAGGACGACTATACAATATATAGTCCACGCTGGGATACCTTTAGGAGTAAAAAAAAGGTGCCATCACAATAGGCACAAACTGTCGTGGGCAATAAGTCACCCTACTTGTTACCTTTAGAGTAAGGAAGTTCTTCCCAAATCTAACCAAAGTCATTTTTGACAAAAAATAAATAAACTTGTTTCAATAGGTAACCGTTACTGAGTGCATCCTGGGTTGGGCACTGGGCTGAGCTGTTACATATACTAGCTTATGTGATCTATACAACTTCCTATCATGGAGTGAAGGGCCATCCCTTCAGAGATGAGAAAATCAGGGCCTGAGATGGGTGAAATGACCAACCCCCCCAACGCCACCACCACCATTACCACCATCACCAAAATCACACAGCTAGGAAGCGGCAGAATCACCTCTAGGTGTGTCTGACCTGGGAGCCAAGCTCTTCCCCATTATGCTATGTGACTATTTATGGCTCTCCCATGGAAACAGGTGCAATGGTGGTCACCCACGGAAGCTTAAACCCTGTCAGAGCAATGAGCCCCTACAGGTACAATCAAAGGGGTTTCCTTCAGTGCCAGGCTCTGTGGAAACGAACAAAAGCTGCTCATCAACCATGAGGGAAGCCTGGAAAGCATTAAACATATGCCTCTGTGTCCCTGATCCTCTCCCACATCCTGCACGGGTGAGCATACACGTGCACGCACACATGCACACAAATGCGTGCGCGCGCGCGCGCACACACACACACACACACACACACACACACACAGGTGCAGACACACACACTCTCTCCACCCCTGAGCTTCCAAGACGGAGAGGAGAGGAAGGTACTTCCCTTACCTGGTAGTAGTAGAAAGGGGACAGAACATAGTTTAACATCTCCTGGTGGAACACGGAGGTGATGCTTCCAGAAATTGGGGGAACCAGCCAAACCCAGTCGGCCGGGCAGCCCCCTCGGGACCGATACTCATTCTGCATGTACTTCATGAAGGACTCTGCAGCAGAGTGGTGGTCCATGATGGTCACGTTTTGCTTCTAAATCAGAAGGAGGCAAGAAGGGGAGTTGAGGCAAGGCACAGGGGACGCAGGAGAGTGGTCTGCTGGCTGCAGGCTCCCAGATAAACTATAGGAAGGCCAAGGCATTAGTAAAATGAGACAGCAATTCCTCCTGTTGAAAATAAATACCCAAATGGAAAACACTCTCAGAGCCTCTGAAGGAACCAAAAACATCATCATTGCCATGGTCAGCCCACAGGTTACATGGTGGCCTTCCGTTGGCCTTCTGGGGGCAGTGTCTGGCTTCTCAGGCCATGCCCACAAGTCTCCCCGAACTCCCAACAAATGGCTCTCTCTGGATGCTGATAAATCAAAGCAAGTGTCTTTTTGCCAGTAGAGTGCTCCGGGGGTCAGTTCCCCAAGGATATGGCTCTCAGCCAAGAAAGAACTAGACCTCTCTGAAGAGGACTGAAGCATTGGGGGAACATCGTCTATGGAAGACAAGTCAACACAATGTCCCACATCCTCAAATTAGAACCTGTGGGATCTGAGTCTTCCCAGAATGACCCAACAAGGGCACCCACACCCCTCAATGTCAGGGGAACCTCATTCATTCAGGAGACATTTGTTTAATGTAGTGGTTCAAACCTTGTCTTATTAGCCATGTAACCTTGAGCAATTAGTTCCTGAACCTCACTAAGCCTCAGTTTTCTCATCTGTAAAGTGGACATGATAACAGTTTCTGCATGAAGTTGTTGATAGGATATAATAAGTTAAGACAAGCATAGAATATGCTCAATAAATGTTAGCTGCTATTATTCCTGTTTTCCAGGCATTGTGTAAGGCGTAGGTATTATAGAGGTGAAAGACGTGGCCCCTTCTCTGCATCTGATTACATTCTAACTAAGGAGGCAGAAGAAAGTCTCCTGTTTCACGTGATCTGATAGAAGCTACAATGGAGGTGGGTGCAGGTGCTGACAGAGGGCAGAGGAGAAGATTTAGTACAGAAAGAGGCCTGGAGGCGAAATGAGGAATTTCACAGATAGCTTCTAAGAAGCGGTGAATCTTGAGATATCGGTACAGGTTAAGCCAGGGACAGGCATTCCTGGAGGAGGACACAGCATGACTCAAGGCCAGGAGGCAGAAGGGGAACCAGCTTATGAGGGCCCTGTAGACCCAGCCACACCTTCTAAAATTTCCTCTTATACATATAGCAACTCCTGGGTGCCAGACCAGTTTTAAGCTCAGGAACTAATGATGATCGCTGTGATAATGATGGTAACATAGCAATAATAATAGCAACAAAACTAATGCTTACTGAGTGTTCTCTATGAGTCAGGCAGCACAGCAAAATGTTTTGCATATATTTTCATTTAATTCTTATAGTAACCTAGTGAGGGAGGTCTGATAATTAAGTTCACGAACTTGTTGCAATGATGTTGCTAACCTTTTTTGATATCAGAGGGATTATTCATTATGAATTTGTACCAACTGGACAAACAGTTGACCAAGTTTCCTATTTGGAAGTGCTGAAAAGGCTGTGTGAAAAAGTTAGATGACCTGGACTTTTCGCCAACTATTCATGGCTGTTGCATCACGACAATGCACCAGCTCACACGGCACTGTCTGTGAGGGAGTTTTTAGCCAGTAAACAAATAACTGTATTGGAACACCCTCCCTACTCNCCCAGTGACTTCTTTCTTTACCCAAAAATTAAAAAAAATATTGAAAGGAAGACATTTTGATGACATTCAGGACATCAAGGGTAATATGACAACAGCTCTGATGGCCATTCCAGAAAAACAGTTCCAAAATTGCTTTAAAACGTGGACTAGGCACTGGTGTCAGTGCATAGCTTCCTAAGTGGAGTACTTTGAAAGTGACGATAGTGATATTCAGCAATGAGGTATGTAGTACTTTTTCTAGGGTGAGTTCGCGAATTTAATTGTCAGGCCTCATACTATTATTATCTCTGTTTTACAGATGAGGAAACAAGGTCAAGTCTTTTGAAGTTTAACCTGAAGGAGGGTAACGAGGAACTGCTGGAGACTCTCAAGCAATAAACGGACAGGGTCAGCAACGGTCAGGAGACAGCTGAGGACGAGCAGATTTTCTGGGGGCATATCTGTATCCTGCCAGTGTCAGGGTTGATGCTGGGAGTTCCCAGGAGCCAGGATGTGTGGTCCACAACTAGCAGGGCCTTCCGGAGCTGGGCCAGCCCCAAGGGGCTCTTCCTGACCCGTCTCAGAGCCACCACCCCCAATCAAGGACAAGCTTGACCTGCCTCTGGGGTGACCAGTCCTGAGGAAAAATGTGTGATTGTAAATATTTATTGGGTGATTGTTTAATGTCAGCTCCCTAATACACTCCATGGGGACAGAGTTTTTGTCTATTTTGTTCTCCACTCATCTCCTTGGCCCAGCCTTGTGCCTGCCTGGCACATGGAAAATGCTCAACAAAACTTTGCTGAATGAACGAATGATTCTCTGCCAGTAGTCTGGCCTCCAGGGCATCTGCCAACTTTGTGGAGATGGTCCCAGCTTCTAAAGTAGTGTCTTCACACATCCCATGCCTCCTTCCCAAAAGGAGGGGGTGTGTTTATATGAATAAGAGCAGCAGATGGACCAGAGGGCTCAGTTCTACACAGTAACCAACCTACTGTGTGTGAGGCCAAGGGGTGCATGCTGCCACTCAATATAGGGAAACAAGAGAACCAGTGCTCATGTGGACGTGGGTCCTTGTTCATACATTCAAAACATGTCTTTTTTTTTTAGCATCTACCATATGCCAGGCACTCTTTTAGACTCTAGGGGTGGAGCAGTGAATAAGAGAGACAAGGCCCCAGCACCTAGCACAATGTTGGATGCATGAATAAAAGAACAATGCTATAAGGGGAAGATCAAGTATGACACGAGGGGCTGGACCACATGACCTTCTAACCAGAAAGTCTTCAGACTCACAAAACTCTAGATGTACCTGGAAACTGTGGAGCACAGCAACATTGATCTCAATGACAGCCTGGTCTTTCCAGAGTGAGGCCAACTTGTGCGTTTCTAGGCCCATTCTTCTGCCCACTTCCTGCAGAGGCAGAAAAATGGGGGTGAATCAGTCCTTGGGACACCACTCCCAGGCCCACACCTCCAGCCGGCCCAGCTGGACGGTCCTTGTTACCTCCATGATGTTGTAGCGCTGGACGTCACAGAAGTCTCGGACCCCGATCTCTGTGCCCATGTACCAGCCGTTGAAGGGGCACCCTGGGAACTCGAGGCCACCCACCTCGAGCAACATGTTGGACACTGCAGGCAGGGTATACCACTTCAGCTCCAGCTCCCGGAACCACTCGTACCTGGCAGAGAGATAGAGCCAGTGGCAATGGGGGCCTTCACCTCTGTGCCCCCTCACCTCATCCCCTACTCCAAAAAAAAGGCTTCAGTAAACGAGTCAACCAAGAAAACTCCTTTTCGAGTCATCTCTAACTTCATCCCACCTGGAGAGGTGAATTGGATGCATTAGGTATCATTCATTAATTATGCATTCATTCACTCACCCATTCAAGCAAACATGTATTAAGCATGAAGTACATGATAGGCCCTGAGCTAAATGCTGAGAGCTCAACATAACATAGTGGTTGAGTTCTCCTATCACAAAGCCTGAGTTCAAGTTCTGCCTTCTGCTTACCAGCTGTGTGACCTTGGGATGTTATTTAGCCTCTCACAGCCTCAGAATCCCCACCAGCAAAATAGAGATAATAGCATCAAATTCATGGGATTATTGTGAAGATAATAGTATCATTCATCTGTATATCCATTTACTCCAGAAATATTTATAATTGAGCACCTATTGTGTGATAGGCACCCTGCTAGGTGTTGGGGATATATAGCTGAATAAAAAAGACAAGATCCCTATTCTCAAGGTGCTTACAGTCTAGAGTCTAGACTCTAGATTATAAACAGGTAAACTAATAAATAGGAAAGTAAAAAATCAAGGTGATATGTTAAACAGAGGGGGAGGGTGTCTCGAGATTGAGTGTTCAGGGCAGACTTCTCAGAGTGGGTGGCATTCAGGAATACCTCACTGACAAGAAGAAATAAACTGAGGGATGGGCAGGGGAACAGCACTTGCAAAGGCCCTGAGGTGGTATATTCGAGGGACAAAATAAAGAGCCCAGTCCAATGCCTGCGACATAGTAAGTCACGATATATGGAGGTATTTTTGTGATGATGAGAGAGGGCCTGGAGCAAGGGCTGAACCAGATGAGCTCCTGAGTTCACTGTTACTGTAGCCTATACTTTCACTACAGTCAGGACAGGGACAGCTAAGAGAACTGGCAGGAAGGCAAACGGGGCCTGGGCTGCTCATGTGAGCATCTCAGAGCCTTTCAAGGGTTCCTCTCCCAAGGTCACTGCTTTCCAAGCTCCTAGAGCCCCATCTGGCTAAGCCTCTGCTTCCCCCTCACCATCAACATATTCTCATACGTCTGAGGCCCGAGACACAAGTGCAGAGTTGCTGGATAAGGCAGGCCTTGAAAGCCAGCGCTTTGGGCATTCCCGGCTGCCGGCTGGGCTTTGGGGGGAGGTGCAGGGAGGGGCCTGAGGATCGCGGTCTCACTTAGGAAAGGACGGGGGGCATGCATGTTAACTCACAACCCTAGCATTCGCAGCATGCTTACTTGGGATGTTCCATGGTCACCTCGAGCACAAGGTCAGGCGGGATTTCAAAGAGCTCAGGGTCACGGCCATCAGCCTGCAGGACCAGTGGCATCACATCGAAGCGGCCGTACTTGGGCTTCCAGCCCAGGTCAATGCACAGCTGGGGACAAGACAGGCCCAGTGAGTCTGCTGACCCAGGTCCCTTGACCCCTCTGGGCTCCACTCTGTCACCCACTGGGGCTGGATCCAATACCTGGGTAAACTCCACACAGGCAGGATCCCCTTGGATCGTGCCGTCGGGCATCTGGTAGCCAGCATACCGGATAAGCTGAGAGTTCCAGACCCGGAAGTCATGCTTCCCATCGCTCCGCTGGGGAAACACGGTGATGGCCGACCTTCCCCAAGAAAAGGACAGTGCTGTTTTACCACCTGGCTATATCGGGGGCTCCCAGCTATTCCTCCACTGGTCCCACTCCCACTCCTATCTCCCCAATCCTCAGCCCTCTGCACCCAAGCTAACCAAACCCAACTCCTACAGCTCCCCAACATGCCACACCCTCACTAGCCTCTGTGTAACCACCCCCACTTCCTGACACATCCTCTCCTCCTTCTTCTCCCTCCGGCTCCACCCCTTCCTTCAAGCCAGCAGAGGGACCGCCACCTCCAGGCAGCCTCCCCATCCCTTGAGCTGGGTTAGCTGCCCTGGCCCTTTTCCTTGCTGCACCTATTTCTCTCCCTGCAGCTGAGTTACTTGGCACCGCCTAGTGCAAAGCCTAGGCTCACAGTGGGCTGGAGTAGCATCACAGTCACCTCTGCATCCCTGCCACCCCACTCCCGTGCCTCGCCCTTTGTTGGGTCCCTATTGGGTGGGCACCGAGTGTCTGCTGAACAGAAGAATGGATAAATGATTAAATGGGCTGTTCAATCTTATCAACCTTGACCTCTTTGTGATGCTCCCACGTCCTCTAAGGAAAACATCACGCTGGAGCCATTTCCTGCAAAACTAACCTCTCATCCCCTCTAAAAAGTGCCGAGCCCTAACCTTGCTTCTTAAAGATTCCCCCGCCCCCTCCACATGGTTCCCAGGCAGAAGGAAACCAAGGAAACGGGCTACTAAAGGAGGGACGGGTAGGCTCATGGAGGCTCTGCTCACTGCTAGGGCTCCATAAAGAAGCCTGAGTCTCTGTTCTCTTTCTCCCTGGTTTCTCTCGGAGCCAGAGATGCCCCCCTAAACCCATCTGCGTCTTTTGGCTAAGACTCAGGAGGAGGATGGGCCCCAGCCACAGCCTCGGGGAAGGTGCCTTACCTGATGTTTCCATTGTTGGTGGCATAACGCAGGTGTCTACAGATGTGTTCGAACATTTCCTGGGCAGTGGAACAGCTCCGGGCATCGAAGACCTGCACACAGTCCCCCCCAACCACACCCATCAAGGACTGTAGGGACACAGGGCTCAGGCTGATCAGAAGCCAAGTCACGAGGGACCAAGGGTGTGGCCCAGACACCCACCACCCAAACACCAAGCAGAGAATTGCATTCTCTCTGCATGACACCTCCCACCTCATGGCTTCCCCTGTCTATCCTTTCTCCTGTTCTCCTAAGCGAGCCCAGGAAACACCCCTTGGAAGACCCTATCAAAACCCAAATCCCCCAAAAAACCTGATTCTCAAGCATCATGAATCAAGAATCCCACTGCCCCAGCCTTATTTCTTTAGAGCACATTTACACCAGGCCTCCAGCACATTTTAATACAGCCAGAGTCCATTTCACTGGCATTTCTCATCAATTTCTCTGTCCAAGTGCCTTCAGTATTATCTAGCAATCAAAGATTCCCCCAATGTAAAGATGGCCTAGGAGGCTAGGATAAAGAAAATGGTTTCTAGGAGCCAAGAATTCAAACAGTCTAGGTAAACAGCCTCTCTCGCGGCACCAGTGTTTCAACAAATAATAATAAGGTCGTCTGGTTAGATGTTGGGTGTTTAGTCTCCCAAACTTAACATAAGAGAGAAAGATCAGCTAGAAATGCCAGTGCTGAAATTGGATGCTAGACTTCTCATAGGGACCCCACTTCATGTTCAGGAATGTGAAGAGAGAACCCAAGGCCCTGGCTTCAGTTTGGGGAGCCCTGGGCACCGCTCTGCCTGGCTGTTCAGGGCCATCGCTCAGGGCCTGCCCGCCACCCAGCTTCCTCTCCCGCTGGGGTCTGAGGAAGTCCACCTGTAGGTTGGACCACTGGATCCTCCCAATGCAGCGAGGGGCGTTGCGCCAGGCCTGCTTGGTGGCGAAGATGAGCTCATCTCCCGTCAGCTGGTAGGTTCCTGTTGTTTCTATCTCCTTTGTTACCGCTTCCACCCTGGCCAGATGTTCCTCTATTTTTGCCCTGGGGGACAGGAAGACATCAGGAAGATCAACAATGAGATGGCCTTCCATGGGATTAATTCAATCCACAGAAGCAGGAAATGAACTAAGACACCAGGAGGGCAAGATGTCTCTCATGGAAACTGTCCCCTCCAGGGCCAGCTTCACAGCTGTGTGTGTCCCAGACCACATGCTTGGTTTTATGGTCTGCTGTCACCGTCTCAAAATTCGTAATCACTTTTGAACAGAGAACCCACGTTTTCGTTTTTACGCTGGGTCCTGCAAGTTACGTGGCTGGTCCCAATCCCTTCAACACCCTTGCTGTTTCTAGGTGCTCTTTCTCTAATCGTGTTCATCTCAGCTTGGCGAGCAGGGAGTGCCATCCTCAGACACATGCAAGACCCAGAGGAACACCCATCGTGCCACTGCCACATCCTGTCGCATCGGCCAGGGGAGCAGCCATCCACCTTCCCATGGTTCAGAGACAAGCCAGTCCCTCCCACAGCAGCTCCTGTGTACTGAGTACTCGCTAGGAGCCAGGTACTGGGTGAAGCCCATTCACAATCAGGGTCTCATTGAGTCTGTGAGGGAGGCATTTTTGTGTCCCTTGTATCGTCCAACGTTACAAGGCTCTAAGAGATCAAGTACCCGCATAGAGCATAAGTGTGATAAAGAGCAAAGTCATGACTCAAACTGAGGCTCCCTGATGCCAAATACAGGCTATTCGCCCTTCCACCTTCCACCTTCCATCCTCGGGGCAATTGTGAGCCCAGAGATGTTGAGGACCTGCCCACACTTTCCTGGACAGGCCTGGACAGGACCTGGGTCTCAGGACTCAGCTTGCAAAGCTCCAGGGCACACTCAGGAAGGGGCCTTCCACAGCACCGTCCAACATCCCAGGGCCTCTGCAGCGTGGTTTTTCTCAACGTCTGCACAACTCAGTCAGCCATCCAATTAGAGATTTCTACACTAGCTTCTCCCATCCCCTCTCAGACTTCAAAAATATCTCCCAGAAAGGGATTCAGTCAGAAAGGCTTTGACACACACACACACACACACACACACACACACACACACACACACACACACAGAGCAACCTTGAGATTTCCAGTCAGCACCAAAGATGTTTAAAATGGCAATAAACAAAACTATTTAAGGAATGAACTCCTGATTAAGGACAGCAGACAACTCAGAACAAAATGGCCTTTCTGTGGATGAAGAGTGTCTCAACAGCTCTTCCTTGATTAAAGAAAAAAAGCTCAAAGACAAAACACTTGGCACTATTTATCTTCAAGGATCCTCCTGGCTTCAGGACCTGCTAGGTGAAGGTTGAGGTTGCGCCACCACAGGAAGCCCTATCCCACCAAACAAAGCTTCTAGCGATACTCCCTGGCTGTATCCAAGCACGAAAACTGTAGCAATCGCCGGGACACTGATGTCTTGAGCATACCTGGGTAGTGTTACCAGGTGGCTATCTAAGAAAGGATTATTTTTTTTACATTTTCACCCAATTCCTTTTGAGTTTCATAGTTTACCACTGTTTTCATATAGTCACATTTCTGAGACACTAAAAATGCTATGATGCCTATCGGTTCTGAAAAAAAAAATAGAGAGTGGCTTTTGGCACCAGCAAACTGGATTTTGAACAGAACATTCAGCAAGTTACCATTTCTAACCATACAACCCTTCCTTCATGAAAGACTGAACCCACCCATCTGCCCATGCCTTTGGCTGACAGTGTAATTTTGGGGATGGATTCCTTCCTCCCTCTTGGGGGTCCCAGGTACGGACTTGTGACTATGAGAAGTGAAACTTCTCTCAATGAGAAACAAATGGGTTTGAACAGCCACCAAAAGCAGCCTTGGAGCCTCCCCAGGCTAATACCCACCCAGCTGCCTTCCAAACACCAGCGGGACCTCCGAGGTCCAGCATGGAGTCGGAATCTTCAAGGTCAAAGACTAGACGCTCGAACCTTGAGGTTAAAAGCAGGGGCGGTAGCGCCAAACTGCCTAGATTCAAATTCCAGCTCTGGAACTTCAGAACGTGGGACTTGGAGCAAGTTACATCTCCTCCGTGGATTCAGTTTCCTTGTCTGTAAATTGGGGAGGATAACAATGGTGCCAATGTCACAGAGAGGTGGTGAGCATTACTGGTAAGGTACTTCCACAGGGCCCAGAACATACTTAGCACTCAGTAAACGTTAGCATCGATGTAGTGGCCCAATGAAGCCCATCAAGAAAATTCCTGGACTCTAAAAGGCTCATTAGCCAACAACTAAGCTGCAAGCCCAAAGATCGTGAACTTCCCAGTCACAGAGCACTTCTGTAGAGGGTCTAGTTCCACAGCACACACAGCAGACAATCCTCTGCTGTAAACAGGGTTCTCAATCCAAATGTACATTAGAATGGCCTGGGTAGCTTTTAAAGAATATGGGTGTCTGCTGCCTCCCACTTCCTGAGATCCTGATGCCCTTGGCCCAGGGGACCCCGGCATTAATATCTTGCAAGGACCTCAGGCGACTCTCCAGTGCAGCCATGGTTGAGGATCACTGGCCCTGGAAGATAAGGGCCTCTTTCATAGACTCAAGGTTCCTCTCAGCTCAGACGTTGTAGGGTCATAGGAGAGGGAACGTGGTATCACCAGGAGCCACTCTTTCTGCCATGGGGGTCCCAGACGCACTTCTGTGGCTGTCTTCCTGCAGCGAGGTGCTTCCTGGGGCCACACTCTCCTCCCAGCCCATAAATCAGCAAATCCGTGCCCTTGGCCATTCTGTCTTAACAATCCCTTTGTGCAATTTTATTTTAAACTGTTAAAAGGGCCTACATTTAAAGTCATATAGTTTGTAAAACCCAGGAATATAGACCCCAACCCAGCTCAGTGCAAAGAGCACAACCTGCCTTCTCCACGTCTGGTGGTCTGAATTCTAGCTGGGACTGGGTGACCGCAGGTATGTCCCCGGGCTTCCCTGTGCACACCTGTAGGAGGAGCGCTTGGCTAGGTGGTCTCGAAGGCCCTACCTATCGCAAACATTTCATAATAAAAAGGTGTATATCAAGTCACAATCAAGGTGACTTTGTGGCAGGACACTGTTCTAAACTTATTTAATCCTCACAACCATCTTATGATCCAGGTCCTGCCATCACCACCGCCCCCTCCCCTTTACGAGTGAGGAAGTGGCGGCACTGAGAGGGTAAACAGATTTTCCAAAGATGTAGGACTGGTTCCTGCGGAAGCCAGGACTCAAACTCAAACAGCTACACTCCCAACCCACACTTTTAACCACTATTGCTCTGCCTCTTTGTTTTAGGATTATAAAACCTCCTCCGGGGTCTTTTTCCCTTGGAGAACTATGCTTTAGCCCTGGAGCCACTGTGAACCTGGGAAGGAAGAAGTCTGGGGTCAGAGGGAAATGGCCAAGACAGGAGAGCTCCCAGGAAGGGGGAGGCAGCGGACCCTGCAAGAAGCAAGACTTACTCTTTAAAGGAGTTGTAATACTGGTTGACAAATTCGATAGCTTGAGGTAGAAGCTCGTCTGGGGGAGTAGGCTTGTCCCTAGGTCCTCTGGTCAAACTTTTGGGGTTCATGATGGCTCCCAGGCAACACTTGGACTTGCAAGCAAGATCCTGGAAAGAGACGGGCGGCTGGTGAGGCAGGCTGCGTGGCTCTGCAGATAGGCGTTGATGGCCATCCTCTTCTAGGGCTAGCTCTCCTGGCCGCCGCCTCCCTTCCACTCTGGCTGCTTCAGCTCCCTGACTCTCCTCTCTACCTGTGGCACTGCATCCTTAGGGTCTACCAGGCTTTGTCCCCACCCAGATCTCCTTTCCTCTACTGGCTGGACCCCAGTGGCCATGAGTTGCGGTCGCTCTCCACCGCCCAGGCTCAGTCTCTGGCCCTATCGCCAGCCGGCCCCAGACCCAGGGCAAAGTCAACAACAGCTTGATCCCTGGGAACATCTCAAATACCTTCTCATTTAAAGAGGCTGATGTGGCTGGCTCCTGGGAACACACTATTGGTGTTTTCAGCTAAAATTAATTGAAGTGATTAGGTATAAATCCCAAAGTCAGAGGATGGCACAAAATACTGGAAGGGGGTACACGCAAATGTTAACTGTGGTCATTTCTGGAAACGGTGGGACGTCATTGTCCGTTCACGGTCTTGACATTTTCCATTCTTTCCCACTTAGACGCATTAGACAGAATGCATTCTAAAGTTAGAATGAGAAACTTAGAAGCTAGGAAGGAGCCGTCGAGGACATTTAGTCCAACTACTCATTGGGTGCTTGAACCCCTCTCCAACCTCCCTATCAAAAAGCACTTGAATCCTTTTAAGGACAGGGAGCTCACGACGACCTCCAGTTCAGGTCAGCTTTGGGTAGGTCTGTTAGAAAATTCTCCCTGATACTGTGCTGCAATCTTTTTATCTCACCTGTCACTGTTTATCTCACCTCTGGGTTATCTATTATTTATGATAGGGCTTCACAAGGAGTTGGCACCATTTCTTTCCTACTGTTATTTATGCAGAACACACGTCTCTCCTCCCAGCACCCTTTGCCCAAGCTGATGACTATTTGCCTTGCGCAGGGGGATATCTATACAATCCGCTGAGGACCCTGATGGCTTCACCGGCTTGGGACAAAGGTGGTTCTCCATGAAGCCCCCGACTTCTCACCCCTTTGGCCTTATGGTGAAGTGTGTCTTGGAAAGTCATCCCACTGCCCCAGTTTTTGATCCTCACGTGCCGTGGACAGGTTGATGGGGGAGCATCCAACTTGACCAAGGGTTCCGGAGGCTTCTAAGAGGGGGAAAAAAAACAGGGATTTCCAAATGCCTCCAACCCAAGGACCCCATGGGTTTCTCCCGGCCCCATGGGCCCTGCTTTGGCTTTGGGTGGGGTGGAGAGTTGTGCGTGTGTTCACAGGTCTGGGTGTCAGTCCATGTCCCTCCTCCCTTCCCGGCAGCCTGGCCACCTGGGCCAGTGCCTGCTAAGAGCTCCAGGTGCCTGGGCCACTGGCCAGGTTTCTCTCCTCACCCAAGACCCTGCCAAATGCTCCCTCAGAGGAACTGCTACAGGAGGAACTGAGGCTAGATGCAAGAGAGACTACTATCACAACCAAGACTGCTGAGAACAAAACTCGGGATAAAGAAGAATGTGCCACTGCCTTCCACAGAGGCATTTAAGAATCTTCACTCCCACTTCCCACCCATCTCTCTGCCTACTTCTCTGGAAAGGTCCAAAGCACTTAGGGAAGAAGGAACCAGTGGGATAAAGGCGCGGGGCAGAGACTGATGGCTCAGCTGCTGAGTCTGAGATTATTTTGGAGTGTCCTACCCCTGGTTCCATGAATGGTCTCCTCTCACCCATGAATGGTCTCCTCTCACCCAGCCCACATAGCCAAGTTATCCAGGTACCAGAGCACCATGGAGGCCACCACTCCTGATCACCACGGATCATCCTGCTTTCTCAAAGCCTTTCCTTGCTCCCACCTGTTCCCCCTGGGTCTCCACTCACTGCCCAGACCCCAGCTTCCACCAGGCTACCCAGCCTACATCTGCCTGGGCAAGGGAGGAAGGGGTTTCCCATACCCATGTGACTCACTGACCTTGACTGTCCCTGTGAAGGGCTGGGGGGACTCATCCTGGTGCTTGACGAGGCCATGACACTTGGGGTCATCCTGTGTCACTGGACTGTGAAAGGAAACAGTTATCATGAGATGGAGTATCTGAGGGCAGAGAGGGGTCTTGGAGTCCTTTCTGCCAGCCTGTCGATTGATGGATAGGGGAGCTGAGGTCCAGAGGGTGGGAGTGAATTGCTCATGATTTCCAGTCAAAGAGGATGTGTGTACGTGGCGGGGGAGGCAGTCAGTCAGACCCAGCCTACTCACTATCACCACCCTCCTTGTCCTCTTTTTCTTTTGCCTTCCCTCTACAAAGCCATAAAGACATGAAGGGAGCTGAACCAAAGCTGCTGGTCCAAAGGACAACCCACAGACGGTCTGGAAAGATGCCCCCTCAAAAGCCAAGTACAAACATGGGTGGACAGAGAATAGCTCCTCTCAGGCCAGCAACACTGCCTGGCACCCACTCATTTGGGGGGCTTGTGGGGGAGAGGTGCTTAAGCTTTTTGATTTAAAGCATTTGCTTTGTCTTGGTTTATTCATTTATTCTAAATTCTTATTATGGAAAATGTTAAACATACACAAGGAGCGAAAATAGAGTTATAAATCCCCATGGGCCCTTCACCCAAATTCAACCCAATCAACAATTATCTATCCATGGGCAGTCTTGTTTCAACTCTACTCTCCCAGTTCCCGCCATCAGTTTAAAGCAAGTCTGAGATGCCCTGTCATCCATAAATATTTCAGTAAGTATTTCTGGAAGATAAAGACTCTTTTTAAAAAACATATTGGTTATATTTATTTTAAAACTACAGATTGAAAGAACTTTGCCTGTCCTTTGGAGAGGAAAAAGTCCTAATAGTCTCAAATCACTCAGACACCGTTGGTTCTGGTTTGGGATTTCAGGTTTGCTCTCCTGACAAATACTACAGAGAACAGAAGTCATATGTGATTATTCTGGTCGCATGTAATGAGCACCCTTCCAAGAGTCACACCCCTTCCAAGAGTCACACCCCACCCATGCCTCCTCCTGGGGAGAAGAATCACACTATGGGGGCACATTAGTAAAGCTTGTTGTGTTCCATGTTCTTTGCAGTATTTTCTGGGGTGTGCATGCATGTGTGCACACATCCAAGGGGAAGGGGGCTGAAAGGGGAAGGGGCTTCTCATTTTCCACTTTATACATATCTGCAATGCGGTAATATGATGAATGAGCATGTATTGCTTTTATAATTGGAAAAAGTAATGCCTGTATATTTATAGGAACATTATAGAATTTTCTACATACATTGCATAGTAGCATTATATGATTTATAACTCTAAAGAGATAGTGTCCCTTTAAGAACACAAATATGTATCAGAAAGCAGCTTCTATCTGACTCGAATGATCCAGCAGCCCCGTACAGCAGCCTCCACGTGCCCAGCTTCCATCACCCCTCTGACTGATGTGCCCACCAGAAACAAAAGCCAATGGAGGGTAACCTTGGTTATTCAGAACAGGTTAGCCATGGCTGAATAGTCATCATGGGGCTGCTTAAATAGGAAGATGTTTTGTGGCTGGGGTCCTCAGCGAGACTACTGACTGCCCTTCTCAATCTTTTGCCATCATCCCTCACTCACCCTTCACCCAACCACCCCCCTCCGCCCCCCGCTTGTTCTTGCTTCTTCTCTCTTACTTCTGGCCACAGAACTGGAGAATTTGAGAAGCTTACTGGTGCACAGTAACGTTTAGATGGAGAAGCAATGTTTTTGTACACCTGACATAACTATTGTCCCCAAATATTAAAACACTCCCTGAAAAGCCACTGTACCCGTGGACCAGAGTGAACTTGTAAACCCATTGCCTGTGTCTGGTTACTTAGGTGGTGTCCATTTTCTCCACTATTATAAACAATGCCTCAAAATGTATACATGGTCTGATTGTGTGTGTGTGTGTGTGTGTGTGTGTGTGTGTGTGTGTGTGTGTGTGTATGGACAAGCATAGAAAAACACCGGTAAATGTGAACAATGCATTACGCGATGAAGGCATGGGTGATTTGAATTTTACTTTATACTTGTCTGCATTTTCCAACTTTTTTACAGTGACCATGAATACCTTTCATAATTGGGAAAATTTTTTTAATTTGAAAATGAATAAACAAAGCTATTCACTGCACCCTTCTTCCCGCAGTCAGCAGAGCTCTTTGGCCTAGGTGCTGGGGGATAGGGTGACCAGGAGCCAAGTGAGCATATTAAGGATCTGGATACTTATTGCCAAGTTATTGCATTGTCTACCCAGACACTCGTGCAGTTTGGCTAAAACCACAGCTGGGCTTGGTCCTGCTTGGTCCTTCAATGGGAACACAGGACCCTTAAGGACCTGCCATCAAGAATGCTGGAGTGTGATGCTTGCCTAGACCCAGGACCATCACAAGCCCTTGAGTGACACCGGCAACACTGAGGTCAGAGCGGCAGTAGGTGGCTTGTTTGGGGGCTGACCTGGGGTCCTGACTCCCTTATGGTACCCACTTCTCCCCACTCGCCCACCTCTCTATACACCAAGGGTGTGGGGCAGGGAGGCGCTCTGGGAAATGGATCTTATCTGTAAAAGAAGAAACTTTTTGCTCCCTTAACTATGTCTGTCCTAAACGGTACAGAAGCCCCCCTCCCGTGCTGAAAAATCTAGAAAGCTCCCAAGGGCTGAAACATCGACAATTCCTATTGCAGCCTGTATAGCCCCCTTTCATGGGTGCACGTGGGGCTTCTCTGGTCATTGTGGCTACTTAATTGCAACCTCTTATGCGTTCTAACCGAGAAAAACACTTTAAGTAAATCCTTATTGGACTCCTACAGAGCGAAAATTCCAACCCTCGTATTTTCACCGACAACAGAGGCTCAGAGAGGGTCAGTGCCACGTCGGGTCGGAGCCCAGTCCCTGCGTGGAGCCGCCCGCCTCCCTCCCAGGGCAGGCCCCAGACTGTGGGGAGTACCTGGCTCGGCGGGGGCCGCAGGCAGGCTGCGGCCGCAGGATCCTGCGGAGGAGCCGGCAGAGCCGGGGCCGGGCGGACTCGCACGCCGCGCCCAGCCCCTCGCGCATGGCCCCCGCGCGGGCGCAGCTCGGAAGGCGCCCCGCTCCGCAGGGCGCCCCCTGTTTTATAGCCGCGGGAACCCCTCAGCCCCCGCCCCGGGGCGGAGCGAGTCGGAAAAGCTGCCTGGACTCCGCTTCACCCCACGCCTGGCAGGGGTCAGAGTATTGTTGTCCCAGGTCCCCCATACCCAGTGGCCCACGGCGGGCATGCACAGGGAAGTCTGTCTTTTGGATACCACTGGACTTTCTCTGGGCTAAGACCCCGCAGGCAAGGACGGCTGGACCTGGGTTGGTTATTCCCCATGAAATAACAATAATGATCATAACAATAACTCCCACTGTAAGGTTTACAAAGCAAACTTTCCTGTCTGTTATTTCATCTACCCCCGACAAAATCTAGTCCACATTGCCAGAAGGCAATTCTATATTGTTATCTCCACTCGATGGAGAAGGAAGTGAGGTCCCAGAAGGTTTAACAATCTGGACCAAGGCCACGCCGCAGCCCCAGGGCCACAGCCCAAGCTTTCTCACCTCATAGGGCTGCCGGGAGAAGTGCTATTTCTATTCTGCGTGTTCCATTTGGATTCCGAAAGAAGCCAAAGAACGCGCAGGAAAGAACGCGCAGGGCTGGGGGTGACTTTTAGTGGGAGGCACGGGGGATGGGCAGTTGCACCAGGAGCCCCCTTAAGTCCCTGCCACCTGGTCCCTGCCACCTGGTCCTTGCTACCTGGAGGGCACAGGGCCTCCTGACTTGGCTCCATCTGTGGGTTGCTCTTACGCTGGGAGCAGGATAACCTCAAGGGTCCCGAGAGACAGGGCAGCAGCGCCCCCACTTCAGAGTACATAGAGCCCTCCCGGACATAGCTCAGCATATTGAATCCCAACCCGGATTAAAAGCAGAATGAAAGAGGAGAGGGTCCATATTTATTCTGAGCCAGCAGCAACCCGGCTTGACTTTGTTCCAAATTCCGCAGAATTTCACCTAGATGTTCCCAACATTGACCTTTGTCTCTACAACACACACACACACACACACACACACACACACACACACACACCATGTTCACTTTCTAATCAGTTGTTTACATAAAATTCAGAATCATTAGTTGCATATAATAGGTTCTGGGTCTTATACCTGAATGGATTGGAAAACTACTTTTTGAAATCAAAATATATTAATTGGTTCCCATCGCTTTCAGGATAAAATCCCCTTTGCACTGCTGCTTCCTCTTCCAGTAACATCCTCCCTCCCCCACCCTCACTGTAGGTTGCAGCCCAGCTGAGCCTACCTCCTCCCAAAAGCTTTCTCCTACCCTTCTCCTGCCCACACTACAGCCAGGTCACGCACCCCCACAGTAACCCCAGAAGAACTCCTAGCGCCCCTGCATTCTCCTGTAACCTCCTGTCTAGCTCTCTGTCCCACCCCAATTTATAGAGAGCCCTTTAACATCACATTCTGCATATACTCCTCCCCAAACGAGTGAAGAAGGCACCATTTTCCCCATTCCCTCCCTGACAGCAGGAACTGGGTCTCTGTTCTCTGTCCCTTTCCCAGCCCGGCACATAGTTGGCCCTCAAGGAGAGCCCACCTAGGGTAGAGGTCAAGAGTTCGAACTTGGTTCAAACCTCAGCGCCACCACTTTCCAGATACTGACCTTGAGTAAGTCACTCCACCTTGTAGAATAAGGGCAATAAGGGTTTCTGCCTCATGACTGACAGATATAGTAATAAGGACTTCAGAAACATTAATATTTTTAGCTGCTGTGTATGCAATTAATAAATGGCTCAATTTACTGTTTACTTAATTAATAACCAGAAGGGATTCATTGCCATCTCCACAACCCCTCCTCCTCCCCCCCCCCCAGCATGGTGCCAGATGAGTAGCCCTCAGCATATAATTGTTAATGGGCTGGAACATGCCCAGAACCAACAGCGTGGCAGTGCAGCTTAGTGGTTACAAGCCCAACTGCTGGGCTTGACCCCTGGCTCTGTCACTTGGTAACTGTGAGATCTTAAAAATTACTTAAACTTTCTAGACTTCAATGTCCTCATCGCTACCGTGGAAGGATAACAAAAGTCCCTTCCTCATCGATTGTTGGGAGGGCTACATGAATTAATGTGTGATATTTTCTCTCCATCACCTCTAATATGTGCCTTGAGCCCTTCCACCAGCCCACCCAAGCTTAAAAAGACTTCAGGTCGACCTACAGCTTAGGACCCCCACCTGGGGTCTGAGCTCAGGTCTCCTGAATGGCCCCCAAACTTAAGTGCTATTAGAGGGTATGGGATTCAGGGCTAAAGGCTGTAGGCCACCCTATAGGAGTTAGGGGAGGATCTTGAAAGATAGGGCATGGATTCGGTCTGAATGAGTGGAGGGAGTTAGGTGCTGGGTACAGGCACCGGGCAACTGAGGAAGGCTGGGCTGGCCAGGTGGGACGGGCCCTCTCTCTGGGAGGGGTGATCATACAGTTAAGCCTCAATCTGGTGATAAGCAATAGGGAGCCACTGCAGACTCTAGAGCAAAATCATGGCTTGCTAGAAGTCAAGTTGGAGTGAGAGAGGTCAGAGCCAGTACTGGGGGCTGCAGCTGGGAAGGCCAGTCGGCAGGGCCTGCAGCCATGAGGCGAACAGAAGGAAGGGATGGATGACTTGGTGACTAAGAAGAATCAAAGCAGATTCCTAAGGCTCAGGACCTCCCTAGATCCTGGGAGGAGCGAAGAAGCCACTGTCAGTCTGTAGCATTTGAGTCTGAAGAGCCAGGAGGACACCCGGAGGCTATCCAACCCTGGGTTCTCATCCTTTGGTGTCTTGGCCACCTCAGCCACCATAGCCCAGACTGCCTGGTTTCAAATATCTCTCCTCTAATTCAACCCACACATCATACCTGGACTGTCTTGCTCATGAATTTACAATACCTCCCCACTTTCCACCATAGCAAGTCCCAATTTCCTACACCGCATTCAAGCCCTCCATGCTCTGGCCTCACCTCTCCTCTCCCAGGCCCCCACCCCCACCCCAGGCCCAAGCACAGTCATGCTTGCTTCTGTCTCTGAGTCTTTGCCCACCCTGCCTGCTTGTCTTCACCTCCCCACATTCTATCCACTCTTCCAAGCCCACCCCAAGCCCCCTGAGAGAGGACTCTGTTTAATGTTGCTCAACCTCATCCTAGCTGCCCACAGTGACAGCAACGATGACAACGGCAACACATGCCATTTATTGAGCACTTACTCTCTGCCAGGCATAGTGCTCAGTTGTTCATTTGCAAAATTTTATTTAATTTTTACCACTACCCCAGAAAATAGGCGTTACCGCCGCCTTCTTACAGATGAGGAAACTGAGGCTCAGGGGCTAGGGGACTTGCCAAATATCACAGGGCTATTAAAAGGCAAAGTCACTTGCCTATCCTTAAGTCCATCTCTTAACCCTGCTGCATTCCTGCCGCCTCTCAGGCACACTCAGGGTTGCCATGCTGCCCACCTCCTGGGGGTGCCCTGCTCACTGTAGTATAGGGGAAAGGCTCCTCGGGGGCTGGGGGAGTGTGAGGCTGCCTGTGTGGACTGAGACTTTGGTTTGGTTCTTGCTTTCATGTTATTGCAGATTGACTTGTCTTTCACTTGAGCAAGTCTCAACCTCCAGTTCAAGGCGATGACCTCTTCTAGATGGCTCTGGAAGCCTGTCCACTGACTGACTGGTGGGCTGATGATTCTCTCAGTTCTACCTCAAGCTTGCGTCTCCTATAAGCAAGTGGTGTGTGTGTGTGTGTGTGTGTGTGTGTGTGTGCGCGCGCGCGCGCGTGTGCACCTACGCATGTGTGTGCGTTTTCAAATTCCAACCCTGTAAATACCAGTCATATGACCTGAGGGAAGTCACTCTCCTCTTAGAGTTTCTATTTCTTCACCTGAAAAATGTGACAATAACTCATATGTCACAGAGCCACTGTGGAGAGTGGCGATCAGCTGATAGGCTCTGCATGCGAAGTGCCATGTAGAACCCGGGCACTTCGGAAACTATCATAAACCTTCACATGGATTGAGTACCCCTTATGGACAGGCACACTGCTAAGTGTTTTATATGCACACCCTCATTTCATCCTCAACAAGCCATGGTGTCCCCAGACTGCAGATGAGAACATCTGAGGCTCAGAGAGGTAAACTTGCCCTGGGTCACAGAGCCAGTGAGCGCAGCTAGCGCAGCACACAGTTTATCTAACATCCCAGGACTCTTCACCAGGTTGATTATCAGAATATCTAACAACTGGTGAGGCATACACACTGGCGGATCAGAGCAGGTGCCGGCCAGGATGCTGTCCCACTTCTAACCACTGGGCTTTACTGCTTCCCATTCTCAAGCCAAGGATTCCATATTCCCTTCCCATACGCTTCCGCCAGAGATTCCAAGCTCCTTCAGGGCCAGGACAGTGCCATGTCCCTTCCTTCATCACACAGTGTCAAGTGCAATGAGGCATACAATAAACAGTGGCTGCATCAAATTCCAATGACATCCAAGAAGCAAGTAGGAAGGTGAGAAGCCAGGAGCAGAGAGAGGGATTGTGAGTTGAGGGTGGGGGTAGGCGTGGTGGG